CTCGTGAGGTATTTGGTTGTGCGGCGGTGCTGACGCTTCGGACCGCTGGTCCCCAAAAACTTCGTGTCTGTATCGAAGACTGGCGAAGGGCCGATCGAAGGATGTTGCGATAATGTATCATGGTGGTCACATTGCCATTCGTTTGGAATTAGAATGCTGATTTAACTGGAGCTTTGGGCCGAGGCCCAGTAAGGTCACGTGCTGATATCCATTAGTCATTTACATATGCCACCTGGGCATCACCAGAAGAAATCTAAAGATTCATGGGAATTACAGAGTGGAGATCATTACAAGGCTTAAGACAATCAATTGACAACAGGTTAAGGCGTTGGAGACGAGCATTATTCATGTTCATCGTTTCTATTCATCTAGAGACACAAATTGCAGATATCTTTCCCATGCGAATGGGTGCTTAGGCAAATCCATTTACTCGGATTTGGGCAGCTCAATTGCGCGGTAGAGGCAAATGAGGGCAGAGTGTGACTCGCCTACAATATCGTTAGCAATGACTCTTGGATCGTAGAATGCTGTTCACTTACCACCACCGGAAAGGGTCTCGATCTTCTGGGCCTCCACCTCAGTCACTGCGTCGTCGTTGAACCACCACCACTTGTCGTCTGCCTCGCGGCGCTTGCTGCCTGTCTGGGGCTCATCCCGCTCCTGTTTCTTAACATATGCCGTGTAGTGACCGCTGTCGGCGCTAGCACCCTGGTGCGTAATGACGGCACGAAGCTCATACAGACCAGACTGATTGGTCCCGCTGTCTCCAGCACCCCGTTGGTTGATAAGTTCTTGGAGCTCTTTCTTAGCAACGCGGATAGATTCCACTTTTTCTGCTTCGTACTCGGCATCAGTTTTGAAGGTCTCCTCCATCTGGCTATCGCCGTCCTTGTCGTTCGCTTTAGACTTGCTCTCCTCGGCGGTCTTCTTCTTCTGCATTGGCTCTACGCTTTCACCCAGGTTGGTCTCTTTCTGCTGACGTTCTGCACGATCTTCGGCAACTCTTTGCCGCTTCTGAGAACGTTCGACTTCCAGCTCCTCCTTGCGGATCTCGCGGACCTTGTCACGAATCGGGACGAGCTGCTTTCGGAGGTCCTCGGTACAGAACTCCACAACATCCAACTCGGCAGGGAATGTCACTTTGCGCATGATCTTAGCCTTCTTTTGTGTCTCCCGCTTCCAGTAAAACCGGACGAAATGGACTGTGAGGTACTTGGGCAGTCGTGCAATGCGAGAACGCTTTTTGTACACAGAATTGCGCTCCAAAAGAGGTGAGTTCTTCTCGATTTCCTCTTCAAGGCCGGCCAAAATTCCATCCTGTAGGTGGTTCGTTTCTTTTCCGATATGACAATCAAGTTTGTAGAAAACATCAGAACTTTGACTCGGTTGCTCGCCGAGCTCCTTGGCGGCGGGATCCTCGCACTTGGTGATAGATTCGAATTGGCCCGCGAGATATTTGTCTACAAATGAGGTGGTCGTGGCAGACTCACCCTCGCCCTCAGTGATGGTCAATTTAGCCCGCAACTGGTTCAATATCTGGGAGAAAGCCTCCTCGGCATCCTGTTGGGAGTATCCTTGTCCATTTCGGTCACGTTGGGCGAATTGAGGGAAGACGGACCGGAGAGCATTGAGGAACATAAGTGGGGGAATACCCTCTTGGGTCTCGGACATTTGCTTGAACAGATCTCGCAGAGAAGCGGCCAAATCCCGAGAACCTCCAAGACCACCAATACCAAAACTGCTGAGGTCTGACAGACTCGACTGTCCAGCTCCTCCACTTGGCCGATACCGCAGGAGCTCTTCCTGAAGCTCCGGGACGCTCCGCAAGGTTTGTAGAGAAGAGTTGAGGTAGCATGTGTTTCCCAGGTTCTGCAAGCCGGCAGGGGTGGCACCCTCTTGTCGTGCGACCTCGGCCTCGGTCATGTCCTCCAGGAATTTGACGGTTTCTTTTGGCCGACCAAGGTCAGCGGAACCTTGACCTCCCGACGGGGTACCCATCATCATGAACATCTGCCCGGGTTTGGCATTGAGTGTCGAAAGAGGTGTATCGTCTTTAAGCTGGCCACCTTTGACCAAAACCTTTTGGCGGTCGGGTTCCACACCAGTTAAGGAAAAGAGTTGGTACTTGAATGTTTCGCCGTTCGACGTAGGATCGAGCTCGACTTCGTGGCGCTTGCCGGCGTGTTTGACAATAACTGTGTATCTGTTAGTAGTGGTCCAGGGGCTGCCAATACATCCATACATACTCGGTATAGCCGCCATTTTCAATAAGTTTTAGAGATGGATGATGTGAGAAGGATAAAAAAGCTTGAAAGAGCTTGCGATTGCTGGGGCAAATGGTAAACAGCCTGGGACGAGGAAGCGTGGGGGTCTCTCTCACCGCCCAACCACTATCATCACCGCCCACCCCGACGTCAACTCCCCTTCTGCCTAGGACAACCTGTTATCTAGAGAACTGCCTTTCTCGTTCACTGCTTTGGGACGAAGGGTCCTCACAACGAGCTAGTTCAATTTCTCTTCGGTCAACCCCTGACTGTATTATTCTTTGTGGCGATTGCATCCTCGTGACCTCAACGAACACCACTCATCATGGTGGGTACAGCTCCAATCAGCCAGCTCACTATGTACTAATTGATTATCAGAGTCAATCCCTCCGGCCGTACCTCCAGGCGTGAGTTTTGGCCTTGGACAAGTATTCAGCGGCAAGCTTGCTCACACTTGCTTTACTAGTGTTCGGTCCTCTCTGACCGCGGCTCTTACGATCTCCAACTTCGCTTCTCAGACATCCGAGCGGCAGTAAGTTGCATGGTGCAAATCTTAGACATGAAAAGATGCTAATATACTTGTTCCACCAGCAACTGCCCAGAGATCGAAGCAAATTCTTCGCCCGAGATCCTACTGAACCCGTACGTCTGACCATCGTTTCTCCCCAGGTCGCATAGGACAAAGGTATTGATGTGATTACAGGCTGCATATCAGCAGGAATGAAAATGAGAAGGTCAAAATTGAGCCAAGCTACAATTCCGTACGCATAAGCATCAGAATCAAGCAGGCAGATGAGATCGAGCACATTCTTGTTCACAAATTTACTCGGTTCCTCACCCAGCGAGCGGAATCGTTCTTCATTTTGCGCCGGAAGCCAGTGGAGGGATATGACATCAGTTTCCTCATCACAAACTTCCACACGGAAAAAATGCTTACCCACAAGCTAATTGATTTCGTGATCGAATTCATGGAAGAAGTAGACAAGGAGATTTCGGAGATGAAGCTCTTCGTATGTGTGCTGATGCGTTGTTTTCGTCACAATTTACTAACAGCTCACCAGTTGAATGCCCGTGCTCGATTTGTTGCCGAGTCTTTCCTGACACCGGTATGTTTTTATTCAGCTGTCTACCATAGACTCAATTGCTGACGATCACCTAGTTCGATTAAATTGCCTAGCGTTTTCTTGTTGATTCCGAATTATGAATGGCCCTGTGTTTCCCACTTTCAGCTCTTGTACAGATAGCATAGGCTTGCATTGATTAAGAGAGAACCTTATCCTAGTATCCGTCGACTGATATTTCCTAGTCCGTGTTCAAGTCGTTACTTGGTAGCACAGTAGATCCTTTCCACTGGCGTAGCGCCCATGCTAACCTGGTGTTCTCGTATGGCCTAGTTCCTCTCCAGTAAGATAACATTGAAACTACCTCAGTAGCGCTATACAGTAGTAAACGAAGAAAGGAAAAAAGAAACTAGACAAGAGAGAAAAGGTAACTTAGCAACTGTAGTACAATGCCAATCTTCAGGAGCTCATGTTCGGACGCATCTTAGACTAACAAATGTCTAACTATAGTTTAGATCGAAGTCGGAGCGTTGAATTGGGAGGAGTTCCCCTGCCTAAAAAGTCAGTCACCGCCTTCCTGATCGAGTGTGACACTAGATTAATGCTTGATTTGGCCTACCGCTCTCTTCACCGCCTTCAAGGTTTTATACCGCCTTTGTGTCAATTCTTGTTACCCCTTTTTTCATCACTTTTTTTTCGTTAATTCTGACGGGGACGGGGACGCGATCAGGACGTGATCGAGGACGTGATCGAGGACGTGATCGAGGACGTAGACGTGATCGCGGCCGTGGACGTAGACGTGATCGCGGCCGTGGACGTAGACGTGGACGTGGACGTGGAGTAAAGCGCGCGCAGAAGGGTTAAGAAGCAGGATACGCAATTTGTACAGTAGATCGATGAAGAAACCAATGAAATGTACGATTTTTTCTGATCAAAATGCAGTGTTTTTTACTATGTAAACCAGAATTGATATGATGGTGGCAGAATAAATGGCAGAATCAGTGTCGCACCCGATATGGAAAGCGGTGACTGACTTTTCAGGCAGGGGGGGCGAGCATCCAAGGAGGGGGTGCGAGTATCAATTCCCTAAATGTTGTATGGGTGAAGTGCGTGGTAAAAATAGAGATGCGGCATATCAGTGCGTGGCAGAAGAAGGGCGTACATAATGGAAATATTTAAAGAGATGTAGTATGTCGTGGAATTTTGGTCGGTGCGGACCAGGTGCGTGGAAATAAGAAATTGTCGCAACCCCGAGTGCGTCGCGATAAATGCGTACCTTAGGCTGGCTCGGACAGGGTACGGAGGCCTCGAGGTTCAATGAATTTTAAAAAAACCACCACGAATACCCTTTTTGGACGATATTGGCTTACATAGTACTTCAGCTGACGGATTTTAATTTAAAAATATTCAAAAAATGCTATATCATATAAATTTATTGAGAAAATTGAGGTCAAAAATTGATGGTTTTATAGTACAGATGCAACAATCCATCCCCACCCAAGTACCTTCCTATCTCGGAAGTCGTTGGACTCGACTCACCTATAAATACCCTTCTGCTATTGACACGCACTTCTTCCCGCAAATATTTTTCTCGCCACGCACCTCTTACCGGAAATGTTTTTATTGCCACGCCCCATCTACTACTCAAAGCTGACTTGATATTTCAAGCCCTAAGATGAGCGAACAAACTGATCAACCTGGGCGTATGCCCGGAAATGATGAATTATTGCCTGCGGCCATTATTAGACTTGATCAACAGGGTCTTGATGGTGCAGACACACGCGAGGAGCCTCGGACTGTGAGTGACTCTAAGAGTCGCGAACACACACCCTCTGGAGTTACCTCTACTCCTGTCAGGGACTCAACTTCTGATTCCGCTCTGGACCCCCAGGATCTTCCTACTGAGGAGCCCCAGACTGTGACTGACTCTAAGAGTCGCGAACACACACCCTCTGGAGTTACCTCTACTCCTGTCAGGGACTCAACTTCTGATTCCGCTCTGGATCCCCAGGATCCTCCTGCTGAGGAGCCCCAGGCTGTGACTGACTCTAAGAGTCGCGAGCACACATCCTCTGGAGTTACCTCTTCTCCTGTTAGGGACTCAGCCTCAGATTCCGCTTTGGACCCCCAGAATCCTTCCAACGCTTCTTCTCAGGCTCCTGCTGTTGTCTTTACTGAAGTCTCTGCTGAAGTCTCTGCTGAGGTTCCTGCCTACTCATCCCATCCTCCAATTTCTCATCCTCAACCTACTTATCCTCCACCTCCTTATCCTGAACCTTCTTATCCTCCACCTTCTTATCCTCCACCTTTTTATCATCCTCCATCTTTTCATCCTCTCCCTTCCCATCCTTCATTTTCTTCAACCCCATCTATCTCTTCCCATTCTTATCACGATAGTTCTTCTTCGTGTTCTACCATCCGTCCTCCTCTGAGGAATATTATTGACTTGACACCTGGATACTATTCCGGATCTTTTGCATTCGTGCCTCAAGTCTATCCTCATTACGGCTTTCAGCCCCAAGTCTATCCTCATTCTGGCTTTCAGCCCCAAGTCCATCCTCATTCTGCCTTTCAGCCCCAATTCAATCAGTATCCCTTTGAGACCACACATCAGTTATTCGGCCACAATCCTGTGGACTTTGCCGGTCAGTTCAACTTCGGTAAGTATCATCTTGCTCCCACTTCTGATGATCAGTCGATCAACTGTACCATCATCATTGCAACCGTCTAAACCCCGCTGACAGTAGCAACAGTACCACCAGACGTCTTCACATTTAACCATCATCCATACAACACCACCAACATGGGTTGGCCCTTCGACCTGAGTGGGGCCCCCAATATGGGGGAATTCGAGCGTTTTGAAAAGGCCTCGATTGAAGAGCTCCTTCAACCGAGCTCTATTCCATTCGCCAGTGTCGCCGAGATGCGCCCAGCTGCTCGTGAAGGTGTTGTGATGATTTCAAACGTGAGTTTTCATTTCACCATATTCTTCCTGTTGACTGCTTATTTGTTTAATATCCCGTTACTAATGATTATGATACTCAGATCCCGTACTCTGTGACTCGCCAGGAGGTAGCCTCGTTCCTTGGACGCAGTGCTACTCTGCTCCCATCCACTCAAGGATGCCCGATCCATATTATCATGGAACGGTCTACAGGCAAGACCATGGACTGCTATGTTGAATTTGCAACAGTGAAGGATGCTCAGGATACAGTTGATCGAATCAATCGTACCTATGACGCTGGCAGCGCTCCCCGTATGGGCAGCCGTCACGTTGACTTAGAGCTCAGCACTCCGGCCAAGTTGCTCAAGGCTACTTTCCCCCGGGCGAAGTGCATTTCATGGGAAGATGGGAACCCTGTTCAGCTTGTCAACAAAGACCCTTGGTCCACTGGTTTTGACGGATTCCTCACTGACGAGGAATTGTTTTGCCTTACTCGTCACGCAGAACAGCCTCATCGTGTATGTCTCAGTTCTCGTTCATCTTCTTCGTTTTCATGTCACTGATCATCTACCACATTGCAGAGCGCATTCGCAAACAAGGTTCCTCAGCGTGCTTATGAATCGTTTGTCAGCACCATCTGGAAGGTTAGTCAACCCTTGTCCTTGCACTCAGTTTGCTCTTCCATGTCGTACTTACATCCTTTCTCTCATGATATAGTTCCCGTGGCATGCAACCCATCTTTACACTGTGCACCACCGTAATGCTCTTTTCAAGACTCTTGGTGCTTTGATCAGGGCTTTGTCGGAGCGCATTCAGAAGACAAACACCGTCGGCTTGGATATCCGCTTGCTCCACGAGTTGGTTCACGCAGGGATCAGTTGCCCTGCTTTTAACCCTCGCATGAAATATTGTTTTGCTTGGTGGTCAAATGATCAGGGTGCAATTGAGTCATTGGACCATGACTGGTGCCTTTATTTCCCTTTCGATACTCTGACCTACGTTCCTGGACACACTACTGCTACTTACCAGGTACGAAAGATGCATGAGATATTAACTTCTTTTGAAAGATCGCTAATCCATTCTCCAATCGGTACAGTATTATGCCTATGTCATGTCCCACGGTTCCGTCCTGCGCACCGAGAACGACGGTCTACCCAACAAGCATACTCTCCCCGAGCTCGAGCGAATCTTCGGAAGGGTCTGGTTTGAGTGGGACAACGACGTTGCCCGTAAGAAGGTTTTCAAAGATGCGATTATCTACGATGCCAGTGTTCTGCGGAAGTTCATCATCACTGGATTCCAGCAGCTTCACAGAAGACAGTCTAGCGTCTCAACCATTGGCACTGCTCCTGATTCGTCACCAACCCAGAGTATCGCCTCGGTTGACAGTCAGCGCACTATTTCGGTGTCCCACAATCCCTCTGTGAACCCGGGCCCTGCTTATGAGGAAAGCTCGATCGTTCCCGCCTCCAGCAACATGCCAAGCAGCTTCCCTGAGTATGGCAACACCTCGAACGTCCCTGGTAACCCCCATGGTAGCTCCCAGCGACTTGATGCTGACCGAGTTCTGTCGGACACCACCCCTACCCACCGGTCTCACGCATCGATCCCTCCCTACCGTCCGCCACATCAACGACCTGCCGATTCAACTACGCCCCGCAACCAGTCTTTTAACTGGCGTATGCCTCAAACTCAGGAGGCACATGCGGCTGGCTCAACTCAGAGCCAGGCTGTGGTTCAGTCTGTGTACCGTGCTCCGCACCCGACTGCACACAACGTTCGGTCGTCCTCGGACCCCTTCGGCCCGGTCCCCTCGACTGCCGCTTCTAGCCACCGCTCTCGCTCGGACGCCACCCGTCTGTCGAACATTGATCGCCGGGCGTTTGATGAGCTCCGAGCTGCCGGTCACGGTCCCCGACCTGCAAAGAAGTAATCGGACCCAGTAGATACCCCGCACCAGTACTTCTTGGTTAAGGAGTGCTGGTCTATCAGCATGGTAATGGTCTGAGCTTCTCGTGTGTTTTCTCTTTCGTTCTTTCTTCTTTTTTCTGGGCATTCCCTTGTCCAGTCTTTCCTGCGTGGGTGTATGGAGACGTCCACCAGGTCTATTCAACAAACCCTGATCTCCCTGGCGCTTACGCCGTTTGCTTTTCTGCTTTTCTGCTTTTTCTGCTTTGTTTTGTTTTGTTTTGTTTTTTTTTTTTTCTCCAGGAAGATCTCCTATTCGCGGTAGCTGCCTTCGGGATGTGCTTGGCCGGTTTGGGAGGTCTTCCTGTGACCGAAACTCATCTGAGTTTCATTTTTTCCTGGCTTTTCTGCTTTTTCTGCTTTTTCTGCTTTGCTTTGCTTTGTTTTTTTTTTTTTTTCTCCCTCCAGGAAGATCTCCTATTCGCGGTAGCTGCCTTCGGGATGTGCTTGGCCGGTTTGGGAGGTCTTCCTGTGACCGAAACTCATCTGAGTTTCGTTTTTTTCTAGCTCTTCTGCGTTTTCTGCTTTGTTTTGTTTTTGCTTTCCTCCAGGAAGATCTACTCTTCGTGGCTGCTGCCTTCGGGAGGTGGTAGGCCGGTTTGGTAGGTCTTCCTGTGACAGAAACTCAATTGAGTTTCATTGTTTCCTAGCTCTTCTGTCACTTCTCAGTTAGTTGACAAGTTAGTTTACGTTTGCTTTTACTTCTTGCGTTCTTGTTATTTCTGCTTCTAGTAGATTTTCCTTATGCGGGCGTTGCTTTTGTTTGTAGATCAAGTAGGCCATGCGGTAACCCGCATATAGTAGGACACTAATGTAAGATTAATTAGGATTAACTAATCGTGGCACGGCCCACCAACCACCTACCGGGGGTTGGGGGGTTGGTGGGCCGTGCCACGATTAGATGTAGTTATCCTGGTCGGAAACTAATTATTACTAATAATGCTGCCTTAAGATGCCTGCGGATGCCTGATTATATACCGCCTTTTGGCACCGCTCTTACAGTGTACAGTCAGTGGACATAAGTTTTTGCACCCCCTATAGCCCCACCTAGGCGCCAGGGGTGCAAAAACTTATGTCCAGTCACTATATTGTAAATGAAACTCTCAGATGGAAGCCTTCTGGGTAATATTGAAGCTATTCCCACCACACAAATCTTTGAAATCTTCCGTTTCTAGGCGTTGAAGCCTCTCATGTTGTCTACAATTTCAAACCCCCCCGACCATACATATCATGTCGCCAATCTCATTCATTCCACTACCCCCTGACCGTATGTCACTATCTATCCTCATCGATCCTAACCGTACAAATGCGACCGTACAAATCGCCATCCATCCTCTTGGTTTTCAAGTACTTCACTTACAATGGGGTCTGTTATGGTAATTCAGGTATTCATATTTTCTGCCGGCAAATATTCAGGCAAATTAAGGCACCAATATTACTAATATTAGTTTCCGACCCCTGGCCGGGATACACCTTCGCAGTAGGACACTAATGCAAGGTCATCAAGGGTGCTCTTTCAGGGCTTTTTGTTTCCGGGAGACTGCCGAAGTCGAAACAGTACTTTACTAGTTCTGTCTCTCTTTTGAGGACATCAGACTTCTTTCCGAGTTATGCTCTTGGTTTACCCTTCTGTCTACGACGGTGTATAGCGCTCAATGCTTAATGCCTGAATTTGTTGCCTGAATGCCTTGTTTTGGCCTGGCAGAATAATAGAAATACATGAATTACCATTACAGATCCTTTAATATTGAAGCAATGTACTGGACTTCGGGACTGGTTCCTAGCCTAAGGTAGGAATGAAAATGAAGCTTTTCGTCCCCATACAAAGGGCCCATCTCCAACTTCTTGGACGGTTTGCAAGTGTCAAAAACATGGAGATTTGTATGGGGAACGGCGCCTAGTTATTCCATGCCGAGTTGGTTACAGTACACTGTACAGGGAGGCCTGAAAGCGGTCCAAAACAAGGCTTAATTCAGGCATATATCAGGCCAAAGTAAGGCACCCAGGCATTAAATTCAGGCATTTGGCATTGAGCGCTATACACCGTCGTATTCTGTCTCTTGATTTGATCTTGGATCTATGGATTTATCATATAAGCATCTGATCACTCATTACGATCGGACTTGACGAAACACCCACCGACACTTGCCAGCGGATCTCAGATACATTTGTGACCGGACAGACCTCAGCTGCTATCAACAGAGTTCTCATTACCGTGTCAGCAAATCGTCGACGATAATCAAAGTACAAACGAGCTAAACGAGCGCGGAACACAATACTGTTGAAGAGATAGAGGAAACACGGCCAAAACAAAAGGGACTAGGCGTGAGGGAGTATGGCTCCCACCCAGTCAAGGGCCTACCAAATTCAGAACCAGCTTGTTTGGGAGATTATGTTGGATTAGTAGTGATGTCGAGATACAGCTAACACTTCCCAATGCAAGATATAACCGCTTCCTTCAAAGTGACGAGACACACCGAGATACTCGTGATCGGAGCTTGCTAGTTCGAGTACATTTGTCTTCATTTGTTTCACCTAGCTTGCCACCAATATATCCCTTGTAAAGGGACCCTACAATTTTACATAGCCAAATTCATGGGACCAGAGAGCCTTGAAGAAAGACCCAAGAGACATACCAGGGTGTCCCGCGTGTGACAGTATGGAACAGTATACAAGTATGTTGGGGGCTACCTGCCCCACGAAGACAGTAATATGGGCACGACTATTAGTAGTGGCCAGCTTAAAACAACCAGATGGGAATATAGATATAGATATATACATAATTTAGACTAGAGAGCTGTTTCCATCGCGTTTTAACTAACATTAATGTATTGATATCTGTCAAAATACAAATACATATATATACATGTATGTACATATGTAACTAACTAGTTATGTCTTAAGGAGGGAAAAAAAAACCGTAAGGGCGCCAACACCCAAAGCGGAGCCATTTATTATTACAGCCGGTTTTTAAGGCATGCGGGCCCTTTTTGGTTTTCGATTTCGATTCATCACTTTTTATTTTCATCTACAAAGTATTTTGTTTCTCTTTTGCTTTACTTGATTTCCAGGCATCGGAATTTTAAAAGGTCCTTTTAACACACAGAAGAAGGGAGAAAAAGACCCCGCCAAGTTCTCTCATTTTCGTTTGATTCATCTAAGTATGCCTCGACGGTCATCTCGGCCTGATCCTGCGTCGCCTGAAGCGCCTATTGCGTCAAAGCGACGCGCTTCAGCCAGACTGTCCGCCGCCAACCCGGGGGTCAAACGAGTAAAATCAAACGTCGACCTGTCCCTCCGCCAGGCAAAGTCCACGACCAGCAAGAGCAAGTACTTTGAGCCAGAAGACTCCGACGAACCCGACTCGGTGTCCGATGCCTCTGCATGGGAATCCGCTGGCTCTGTGTATGAGGAAGCAAAGGAGGAATCCCCCGCCGACGAAGCGGAGCCGGAAGAACTCTCCGACACCGACGAGGTCGTCAAGAAGAAACCCAACGTAAGAGGAAAGCAATCACAGAGTACCAGCAGCGGAAGCGACCTTACGAAGGGCAAGGAGCTCTGGCGCGAAGGTGTCAGAGTGGGCCTGGAGCCCGGGCAAGAAGTTATCATTGCAAAGCCCAAGGCCCGAGACGCGGGGAAGACCCCGTACCAGGATGAGACGCTGCACCCCAATACCAAGCTGTTTTTGATCGATATAGCTAGCAACAATGACCGTCAATGGCTCAAGGGTAGGAAGCGCACACATACCCCGGTTGTCGACTTGCTGGCTGACTTGCGCAGCTCATGATCCGGATTACCGCGCGGCAAAGAAGGACTTCGAGACATTCGTTGAATCCCTCACGCCGAAGATTGCGGAGGTAGATCCTACCGTCCCCGAACTTCCTGTGAAGGACCTGGTAGGCTTGCCAATACTCTTGTTCTTTTTATTTGTCCCCGCTCACAAACTTTGTTCCCAGGTATTCCGCATCCACAGGGATATTCGCTTCAGCAAGAATCCACTTCCGTACAAGGTAAGCTATCCTCTCCTCCGGGTCCCTGTCGCCGTGGCCTGTCGCATGTGTGCATATGTGGCGGGTGGGTGGGTGGTACTGTGTGCTCGTTAGCGGTACTTGTGCTGACTCCAAGTGTATAGACGCATTTCTCTGCTGCCTGGTAAGTGTCAATGTCCAATACCCTTGTTTCCTTTTGAGAGATAAGTCCCTGAGTATGGCCCAGGTCGAGAACTGGTAAGAAGGGCCCGTACGCAGCGTACTATGTCCACTTCCAGCCAGGCTCTTGTTTTGTTGGTATGTTGTCCCCCAGATTCCCACTGTAGCCATTGCTATCTTGCCTTTCATTTGTGATCTTTGTCCATTGCGGCTAATACCACGCTGTGTATAGGGGGCGGGCTGTGGAACCCCGAGTCAGAGCCACTTGCGCTGCTGCGGGAGGACATCGACGATAACTCGGCTGTCTTGAAGGAGATACTCCGGGCGCCGGAGATGCGTCGTGAGTTTCTGAAGGGAGCGTCCGACGATGACGATGCGGTTGTGGACGCTTTTACGCATCACAATAGGGAGTCTGCTCTCAAGACGAAACCAAAGGTAAGAAGCTTTCGGTTCTCTATTTCTTACCCCGATGTGAAGTATGTTGCCCGTTGAGACAAACTTTACTCCTTCCCGTTATCATCTTGTGCTTCGGCTGCATTGTCAGCTGTTTGTTTATTATTTATGGGCTGGGATTCCGAGGCAGGGGGCACAAGGTCCGCAATCGAGGTTGCATCCATCGTCCGACCGGGATTGCTCTTGAAAACGGAATCTACTTCCATCTTCATGAATACCATCTTCTCAAGGGCTTGATTCCCAGGTGGCAATGACCTAATGAGATCATGGAGACTAGATCTTTCTTCCTGGTCGGGCTGCTGGGTGCGACCACGGCCCCTCAACCGGCCAACGTCGAAAGGACCTGGCACATGATGATTCAAAAGAATCCATGCGTTCCATGCGTTCCAAATGCTTCATGTGCTTCAAACCATCAAATGAAAGAGATGTGGAAGACACGCGCACGGTGATACGGGAAAGGCCAACCCGTGTTTTTAGGTCAAATTTCCCGGAACGCAACCATGGAACTCAGGAAAGCAATTTCCAAGGTTCGCCAGTCTGATCTCAATGGGGGAATCGACTTGCTGGAATGGGATTTGTTCTCACGCCGTCGAGTTTGGTTCCATGGTTCACACTTGCGCCAGGCTCCACGTCTGATCCATGGGATTTCTAACCTTGGAAACCTACCGCTGACACACCTTCTAGGGTTACGAGGCAGATAACGAGAACATCAAATTACTACGACTACGCAGTTTCACTATTGGAAAGCCCATTCCAGATGAGGAACTCACTGGAGATGATGTTCAAGAGAAGATTGCTACTTGGGTTGGGGTCATGGAACCTTTCGTAAGCCCTTTTCCAATCTATTGACTCCATTTCCCGCTGGTTTTTACCCCCTCTTCTTCTGAGCTAGCCACTTTGGCGGTGTTAGCCGTCCCTTTTACCCACCCAAATCAGCACTGTGCCACTACCTTTTTTTCCCTTTTTTTCTTTTTTTTCCCACTTTATTTTTGGTCCTTCCCGCTTTGACAAGATAGGGCGTTCAGACAATAACCTTCATGTTATATACTTGTATTGCTGACCGCTGACCGCTTCTCATTTCTCGAACAGGTGACGTATCTCAACAGTGTAGTGATGCCCGATCAGTGACATGATTGGGGAGAGCCACCCGCGTCTATTTGGCATCATTGGACGGGAGGTGGAGAGAGATCAATTTGTCCCGGCTTACCCTTGACCTTTTACTCCTGTGTATGAGAGTTGTGGTATGAAATTGTTCGTATTTGTTACCGTCGAATTTCTCACATTTTATTTTTCTCATTCAACATCTGTCTTAGCTCGGGTCTTTTGTCTTGCTACTCCTCGACTTGAAACCAGGATCCCATCCCCCACCTTGACGCCTCCTGCACATAGCTTCTTTCGTCGGTCCCCGCTGCGTTTCCTGGGTTTCTACTGCAGGCCTAACACTGGCGCGGGGCCAAAATAACGTACCTAACGCTGGCTCTGCAGTCATATCACCTCTAGTTGCTGCACACTGCATATAGGCAGGCCTACAGTACGCGGGCAACGCTCCAAATTGAGACATTACTACTGCTTTTCCCCTCAACATGACACATATTCTAGACACTTCGGCGCAATCCTCTACCCGTGTCAGCGCCCAATGACTGTGAAGCCCCTCGCATGCAATATGCAGTTTAACTTTTTTTTTGCAATCTACCACCCCTCTCAGACAAAACCCGAATGTACGACATAGTTGAGCAAACAAAGGATACAGAAAATTTCAAAATTAAATGAAACAACCACTTGGCGACCAGTTGACGCGCATGATATCGCCACCGCAAGCGCCCGCGTTCGGCCCGTTGTCGGGCATGTCCGCTAGGCTAAACTTGGGCCTGCAGGGCAATGTGGATTGAGGCCCGGATAGTTTTACTCCGCCGTCCCAGACTTTGGACTTTGAGATGAGCACCTTCCTTCTCTGGAATGGACTCCATTTATTTGACTGGGTGGTATTGTTTTGTTTCTTCGTAGTGCATCCTGCATGTGTTTGGTGCGCATTGCGGAGTTTGGATTCTCGGTCAACGCCGTTAATTTTGGTCATTTTGGGCAGGGTTCACGGGTAGCATGTGTTCGTCGTTATGTATCAACTCGACACTCACTCTTCTCTCTGCGATACATATAATTGGACAGATGTATCCCGGGCTGTGTTCTGTATACCAGTATACTTAACTATTGCCATAGGTCTTCATGTATGAAAAGAATAACTACTAATATTCTGTACTAGTATCGGGAACTGGGCCCGAAGAACCCCGGTCATGTTGTTGCTTGCATATCATGTCGCAAAGAGATCCTCAATAATATTGGATAAATTAATATGAGGACGTAGAAAATCCTACGCACGGAGAGTGGGTTCATATATGAAGTTTTAGCCTCTTGGAACACAAATGTCAAAGGTGAGGGTAGCCCTGTGTAAGTCACGATATACACAGAGACTATATACGAAAGTATTGCGATATATAAATTGTTTCTTTGATTTCCTCCAGGATATCGAGGGCTATGAGCTTGGGGTTCACAACCACCATAGGTCTATAATCCATCTCCGTGCGCACCCGTGCTAATTATATTCATCAATGTTCCCTAGATATACCTCCCGGATCAAAGTCTGCATTCAACCCATATCGAATATTCCATTGACTCGATGTTCAAAAGCTCCTAGGTATACGCTTAATGTTAGTTATACGTTTAGGGTAGAAATAATCACATGTTAATTTGTCTTGTTTGTTCAGCCACAGTGCATCGACAGGCATGATGTTTGTCGACCTCGAACGGGCCAATCAACTCAAACCCAAGATCAAGGTAGAAGCCTGGGCGTGCGGGGATCAACCTTTAAAACCTTGAAAGAGTCGGTCAATTTTATGAGGCATCTGCAGTTGTAGGTTGGTGATACCGATACCCTAGCTGCATTTGTATGCAGATCACACAGCACATAATCCAATCTAACCAAAAAGCACCTAGCTAATTTCAAATGCGAAAAGTCAAAAGTAAACCAAAAGAAGCAAAAGGTACTCGAAAAAAGCAAAGAAAGGAAAAAAGAAAAAAATAATCAGTTAAGCCGCACATTAATTAAATATGTCAAAGTCACTAGCTTCACGCACGATCCCGAGGAACCACTTGGCAAGCAGCATCCAGAAAAAGCAAGGTGAGATTGACTTGCTTTGTCTCCCGAATGGCGCCCAAATAGAGTTGGGGAGGTCTAGCGAACAGCATGGAGGGCCCAGCTTTGGTCTCTGTGTGACTGACGAGATATACAACCAAGATTGGGAAGCACCAATCAGATACGATTATTACGCGAATAGCATAGAAAAAAAAAATGAAAATGAAAATGAAAATGAAACTTGTCCAAGCCAAAGAGAGCAAGTACAAAAGAGTAAAAAAGATCATAGGGTCGGCTAATAATGACTTGCCGATCTCACATATACTTTTTCCAGGATCAGGTAGTCATAAGGCATCTCTCATCACACGACCTGCACGTTCGAGTTCGTTGTACACCGACTTTGAAAGCACTGCCTCGTTCCGGCTGAGTGCAGCAAAAGACCCTCGCCACGTCAGATCTCCAAGCACAGACCTTGGCCTCCCTATTATTTTGTATCCATTACTATATTGGTGCATATGGTGTTCCCGTGACTGTAACGACATGCGGGCTGCGCCTATTAGTGCCCGACCCGTCTCCATCCTTGCTGATAGACGCGCTCCCGTGTGGGTAAAAGAGGGGATTTTATGGCTAATAGAAACCTTGGAATTGTCACGGACACTAGGAGATTTTAAAAAGAAATTAAGGGATGTTTAAAAAATTTACACCAAATGCAAAGTTGAAACAAGAGAAAGTACAAATATAATATTGTAAATAATAATAGAAATTTACGATGGAACGTCGCAGCCTGCAAAAAGACCCGGTCGGAATGGGTTCCCCTAGCGTTGGGCTTTCAATTTCGACAAGTAGCGCTCAGTCCCTGTCGGAAGGGCTTAGTTTTGAGGACAGCTAGCGCGTCTCCAGGACAAACACCATCGAGTGGCCAGCATTTTTGGAACGGGTGGATCTTAGAGAGTCTCCGGAGAGTACGCTAGAGCAAAGGGACAAAGCTGGACAGGCCACGCCTGAGAGTGGGGAACGGAAAGACGCGGACGGCAATGCAGTCGATTGGGTTCGAAAAACGTGGCCTGAAAGGATTGTCGTATCTTGGTACATCATTTTACGCCGTTTTACTCCGTATTACCTAGAGGGTACTAGATTTATGAAAACGGAAGTCTCAACCGAACACTATATATATCTTTACCGATTTTTAGTAGTTTCTCTATACCCATATCATGCATATATAATCATCCAATATCACTACGTGTATATTGCCCGAGGAATATATATATATGTTATTGAGACGCAGACAAATACTGTACTGTAACAGCGAAGGTATTTTTGCCAAATGGCACACATGCATAGATCGGCGGGAAGGCCGGAGCGGCCCGTGGGACAAGTACCCCGAAACCTGATTGATTAATCCTGCGCAATAGTACTCGTATTATTACAATTTACTCGATACATATATTATTCAATCCATGGTTACGAGAGTGGGCTTGTTTTTTTTTCTCCGTCGCTCGCTCTGACTATCTGCTATTATTCATATTATAACTCAACCCCACATTCCCTGTATATTGTAGATTACTTGGGCTGAAAACTTCACCAGGGATTGGCGGTGACGGGGGGCGTACGCTAAATAGGCCCCCCCGTACAACGTGGTTGTGGCTCTTGGACAAGGAACCCGCCCTGTCAGCGCAGCGCTAATGCAGGTTACCTTGGCTCATTATGGGCTTTCCGGATCCAGTGCTACAGCCCTGGGAACTTAGGGCACTCCACCCCCTCCGTTCTCTCTCTTCTTTCCCTCCCAAAGCCTGGTTCGTTTCAGTCATAGAAAAGAAGGGATCCGCTCTCGCCACATTTCTTCGCAGAAACTTCGCACCATACTTCCATACCCAATTGTTGTCCTTCTATGGATGCTCCATCCGCGTTGAAGAGTGGCGAGTGGTCTGGCTGAACCCCACTCCCTCAGCTGAAGTCTGATCGCCACACTTTCACCGCTTGAATTTTTCTTTCATAGTACCTACCTACATGCAGTAGTCCCATGTACTTGGATAGACTAGGTGATCCTGGTTAAAGCAAGAAACACCACAACAATGTACATAATAATATCATTAAATAGTTACCTAGGTAGATTTCAAAAAAAAAAAAAAAAAAAATACAGATAAAATACAATTCAACATATGCATGGGAATGTGTCGCCCCGACCCGAGCCCATCGCCATGGAAAATGATCCTGGTTCCGCGGGGCCGGTTGCGGTTGTGCGACTACGGTCCGAGGCGGTCGTTCGTCCATGGACGGGTTACGCAGCAAGGGTCACTCGGAGGAATTGACGTGCATGGATCCATGCAAATGAGAGGTCACCTGCCATATTATTGATGATGTCAACTTTGACAGTTGAAAATAATGTTTCCGATTGTGTAGAGCTTTTCCTATTATTCTATAGGTTGGTAGGTATATTGTTCGGTAAGACTGTCGAGTGGCGAAAAAACGTGGAAAGTTACTCTCGGGCGCTACTGCTAGTTGAGAATAAAATGAAAAGAAATGAAAAATAAAAATGAAATGAAAAATACAAAATACAAAATAAAAGCGGTCGCCGTTCTCGGCTTCATGGCAACGGAAATCTGGTACCCTAGATTGAAATCCATGGTTCTAAGCCTTGTCTCCCATGTTTCACTTGACGAAATGAAATCGTAAGGTAAGGTCATACTACTCGATGTATCGATGCTAATCTTCGAGCTAGACACACAAATTTGTTACATACAATCTGTCCACGGGTGTATAGATACACTGTACAGTAATCCCCCCTCCATGTCTATGGGTCACTGGCGCCGCTTTAGCCCGCGCTGCCCGGGCTCCACCCCGTTCTCTAAAAATTCCCCTGTGCTTTTCCAATCAAATAATTCAGTTCCTTTTATTTCCTTTAATCTCTGCCCATTCCGATCTGAGCTTCTTTTTCTTCTTCCCTTCTCTGCTTATCTTGTCGTGGGGTTTTTCACTTCCTCATACCTGCTCACGTCATAATCACCGAGGCTCTCTTTTTTTTTCTCTCTGTTTTTTTTTTTTTCTTTCTTTTTCTCCTTCTGCTCCCCTATTTTCTATTTTCTATTTTCTGTTTCTGTTCTTCTTGGGGATCTTCCTGCATCTGCCCTTTTTCCCCTTCCCCTGCGTGACTGCGCTATGCTCACTTTGTCCGTGTGATTCGATCTCCCTTTTTTTCAATAACTCGACGTCAGATCCCTGTATTCTTGACTCATCCCGTCTTACTTCTCTCCCAACAATACAAATGTCGGGCAATCCCAACGATCACGATCCCAATCGTCAGGGTGATTTAAATCGCCAGGATCCTCGAGATCCTCGAGATTCAAGAGATCCTTGGGACCCTAGAGCCACCCAGTGGAACAATCCGGATGATCAGGCTTCCTACCCAGTATGTGCTGTCTTGGAGCCAGTTTACGCGCTATGACTTTTGCGGTGGCTCCGGTTGCTGATAGCTTCATAGTATCCGCCAACTTCCTACCCTCCGCCACCTGACCAGGACCGTGCCTACCAATATCCCCCTCCCGCACAATACGCGACATCACAGTATCCCCCCCTCCGCAGTACGCCCCATCACAATATCCCCCGGCGCAGTATCCGGATCCAAGATATCCGCATCCACAAGCCATGAACGCTATCCACGGAGCGCAAGATTCCTACCGTCTCCCACCTCCGCCGGGTCCTTATCGCGCCGATGCATATGGACCCCAGGCAGGACAAGGGCCTTACCAGGCAGCAGCTCCCCGACAGCGGACGGCCATTGCATGCCGGTACTGTCGGCGCCGGAAGGTATGGGGAGATCTCTACCCATCTACGAGTTACCACGCGCTAATTTCTACCCGATAGATTCGTTGCTCGGGATTCGAGACCTCGGCAGATGGACGATGCAGCAACTGTGTTCGATTCAACCAAGACTGTATGTTTACTCCGGTCTCTTCGCAAACCCAAGCCTTTGTGCCTGCCCACACCGCCTACCCTCATCTACGACCTGGACAAAATGGACCAGGACCAGGGGGGCCGTGGTGGACCGCCTGTCCTGTACGGCGCTCACGGACAGCCTCTGCCCCCTCAACAGCAGCCACAAGGCCCCGAGACCACCTTGCCGCCGCCTCAAGGGATGTACTATCAGAACGGACGACCTCCCATGGACGGTGCCCCGCTTCCCCTTGCGTCAACTATGCCGGATCCGGTAAGGCCGCCATTCCCCCTCTGGTAAGAAGGAGACAGGGAGAGAGATCTGAGCTGATGTTTTGATGCGCAGAGACACCGTCGAGGCTCGAACTCGGGGTTTGAGTACCCAGATCCAACCAATCTGGCTCCCGTGACACCCGCTGGGTCTGCTCCAGGATACCAAACTCACACTACACCCAGCCCTTACGCATATCCCCCTCCGCCTGCCCACGATCGACGCACCTCGCCGCCATCGGCTTATAACTACGATGCACGCCCCTCCTCCTCACCTCACGGCTCGCCCTTCCCACCTATGCAGGCCCACCAGGCGCCTATGACTCCACACCAGGGCAGCGTGCCCCCAGTTTCGGCTCAACAGGGCAGCGCGCCCCTCAAGTCAAGTGGCACCCCTCAGCCCGGGGGTGTGACGCCGCCACCAAGCTCTACTCCCGGTGGCTCGCAGCGAGGTGGATTGAACGTGCGCGATATGCTGAACCCCGGTGATTCCCAAGGCCGCTCCAGCACCGATAGCGACATGCTCAATGCTTTGAATCGCCGAGGCCCGCAATAGTAATTCCTATGTTGCTATTCGATATCCTAGTGGAAACTAGGAGGCGCATGAAGAATGCGATGCGGGACCGGTGAGGAATGAGGACTATTCGGAATGGACCGTGTGCTGGCCACACGATCCGAGAGCCATGTGTCGGGTGCTGAAATTTGGAAGGAAGATTTTGAGGTCACGTCGGACCGTTGTGGGACCGACATTAGGCCACAAGGGGAGTTTCGGAATCACATTCCAGACAATGACGAGTACCTAGACGATGAACGCGACAAGGACGTCACTCTCTGATCTATTACAAGGTCACAAAACGCGAACCCACGAGTTTCACGAGCACGAATTTGAACTTGATACTGAGACTTCCAGACTTATGGGCTCTGGTTCTATCGGCATATGAATTTTTTACCTCTATATTTTTTTTTTTTTTTTGACCATTCTCGGCTTCGGTATCTCAATAATTGCAAATCCATACTTAGATTTGCTCAGAGAGTGGTTTGGCATGGTTTCCAGGGTGCAGTTCATGTGCTGGTGTCAATTGGTTCAACCCACATCTCATGAGGGTCTAGCATGAATGCACTCTGGACTATTACCATCAGATCACACTCCGGCTATTTTTCCCGTGGAATTCATTTCCTATAGGGCTGCAGCGATTGTCCGCATTGTTATTTGAATTTCGGGTGGCTATCTGTTTTTTATTTTTATTTTTCTTTCTTTTCCGTTTTGGCAATTTGTCTCGTTTTGCACTCATCACGTTTTTGCACTGTTGTCGGCTTTTGTGCTTTCCTCGGGTTATTCATTCCATTTACATTACTGGGAAGGCATTCGTCTATTTACTACCATTTTACATCTTCTACGATGTATGTGTGGCCATCTGTTTTTCGCCTACGCGACTAAAAGACGTGGGTTGGCTGTGTCATCTTTTCCCTTTGCCTTGATTCTTATCGTCGGAACTGTTTTGATCTTTTTTATATTTGTTCCTGATTTTCGTACCGTTGTCTGTCTTTTCGTTATCAAGTATCTGCTTATACTTATATCCGGAGGTTGTTTGATCACTCTTTCTGCTATTCAGTTATTGCCGCATGCTATTCCACTTTCCGTTGAGGTCTTGTATCTCTGAGCGCTTTCTGATGAAATTCTATGCTGCGAATTATACCGAGTATTCCTCCCTGGCTCTACATTCAACGGATCCGATCCGATCCGGACTGGGGCATTCTTAGTCTTCTCTTTATTCCGAGGCATTTGCCCTTACTTGCCACTTATCCTCTCTCCTTATCGAGAGTGGAGAGCGGTTTCTCCGTCTCAGATAACGGGACTATTGACTTTATAGTTTGTCCCTGTGAAGGGGGAATCTTGGCTGCATAATGGAGCTCGAGTATTGCATCCTTTTCATGCTACATCATGCACCTACCCCATCCAGCATCCAGCCTAGATTACATATGTGCGTATATGCAATGTAGACCGGGTAGGGGCAGACGTACGTAGGCACCTACGTGAAGACCTACCATGTGACTTACCCTAACTGTGACAGTGTCAGGCTAGTTCCTGTTGGTCAGGCGAGGGTCATGACGGGGAAAAGCAACGTATTGTGTTCTCTATGCAGAGACTAATCCTTGCTTTTTTTCCAAGTCGTACCGGGTGGCCCCCAAGATCTTGTATATAACGAGGACAGCTTCTTAGATCTCTTTGGAAGTATACTTGTCATGAATGACGAGATGCTTACCCCTGTATGTACAATGAATGTTGCATCAGGGGATTAAAAAACTGAGACCTAAACGAAAGGATAAAGGCTAATAGAAAGAAAGGTAGAGGCTTAACTATCTAATTGTAATATAGTCGCTGTTGGTAATAATAAAGAAGTAACTAGAGTGTAAGATCGAAGATATTTCTAAAGCTAATAATATAGACGAGTAAATAAAACATAAATAATTAAATATATATAATAATAATCTTTCTAGATTTACTATTTAACTACTATAAATAAAACACATAGAAATTACTTACATATATCACAAGGTTAGTTATGCTTATACTATTTAACTATAGCACTCCCGATACAGCACTGTAGTACCGAACCAAGGGCCTAGTGCTACGGTACACCGGTGCTGTGGGACTTGTCAAGGCCTACATGTTACGCCCCTAGAAGGAGAGCCAGGCAGACCCCAAAGAAAGGGTGCCAAAGAAAGCCCACGCCGGAAGCGAGCGGTTTCGGAGCGTCCATATAAAATTTTGATCGAAAAACCAGTATGTCAAAATATACGAAGGAAAGAAAAATGTTATCTGAGATATTCCTAGAAATTCGGAATCGGCCTCAAAAATAAATTCACCCCGGGAAAAGCTATCGAAGAGAAGCCTAACCAAGATCCGGATGAACTAGACCATAGGCATATTACCTACAAAGCCCTTTTCCTCCCTGCAGATCTAGCAGGTTTATAATGGCTCTTTCAACAGACTTAGCCAAACCAAGTGGACGCGTCGCATGAAGCCACTGCAGGGCTTTCGCTTGTTTAGGAAACGGTGATGCTTGCGGATCCACTGCTCTTATATCCCTCGGTGCTGACAATCTGGTAGTTGTGCGAGCCAAGAGGCATTCCGAGCTTATCCCAAGCTTTGAAGTGGTTGGCAGTGGTGACGGTTCCGCTGCTGCGCTTGCTCCGGCGGATAGACCAGTACTGGTCGAAGGTGGAACTATCAGAGTCGATAGAAGGCTGGTTTACTTGCTTGTGGGTATAGATATCGTAGACGGATCCATCGGTAGTCACGGTTCCCTTCAAGGTCATGCTACTGCCGGGGTTGTATTCTCCATAATTTTCCATGATATAATACTCGACCATGGGGCTCTTAGTCCACCCGTAGACAGCGAGGTAAGCGTTTCCGGAGGGTTTGAAAGAGCCGGAGAATTTGATGTTTCTAATTCGTACTTATAAGTATATCACTAATAAATAGCGAGGTGCTCTCGACTTACCGGTCGCTGCCAGTTTCCCAGCCCTTGCCAGAGGTGAAAGATCCGCAGTTGGTCCAGCTAACGCTGTATTCACCCGCATCACCATTGTTGTAGGACACAGCGCCATCACCAGTGGTCCAGAAAGAATAGAAATAGCCACCGCTAGTTCCTTGTTTGTTGGTGGTGATCGCTCGCTTTTCCAAGTCGTTGGGAAGAGCAAAGGCAGTCACAGCTGCACAGGCAGCCACGAAGAGGGCGGAGAATGAGACCATGATGAAGAGTCAAAAGCCGTCAGTAATTGAGGAAGACGGATGGATTGAATTGTGTAGCTTGTGGCGGAGGATTTGTTCGGGAGAAGACTTTCATTATATATTCATAGGATCATGTGGGGCGCGTTTCAAACCGTTTCGTGTTCGTGGATGTCTTGCCTCAATTTAGCCAGTAACCTATTTATGCTGAAGTCATGTATCCTAATTGTGCTGATCATGGGGGAAGATGTCTGTGTCATTCAGCCGGCGTAAAATCACATCATCGCTGATTCAAGCTACAGTTGGACTCTTCGGCTAAGCTTCGTCGCCAAATGAAAACAAAAATGTTAAAGAACCCGGACATGGGCGGGCGTTGCTTGGCTTGGCTAGCCTAAAACCTAAAATCAAGCAGTTTGGAAGCCGATAACACGAAGGCTACATAATGCTTTTTTGTCCGACTATTTCGATCAGTAGGGAAGTCGACTTGAAGCCAGCGAAACCATGGCGAGGTAGCTGATCCATGCATGTGTAGATCATCGAATGTGTATCTTAGCCTAATGTTTGGTGACCGGGTATCTTCCTGCGCCTATTAAGGTAGGTAGCTTAGTAGGGAACTTTATGTCTACCGTGATCTTACGGAGTACATGCACCGAGGTTATACGGCCGGCTGTACGTAATTGGTGATCGTCAGTGGATTTACTAGAAATATATCTCGAACGGGCCGCTAATGTGCCAGATATATAAGTAGCCTTGACAATTGGCTGTGTTTCTGTCAGAAATCTTCGATCAGGTAACAAATTGAGTAATTTAACCCTTATTTAGCCGTTATCTAGGTCTTTCCAACCCTTTTGTTAATCTCAATAATTCCCCGAAGGATGAATGAGATTTAGGGCTTGGCAAGTCATCCCTAAAGGGCTGCCTCAGATCCCGTCTTTTTACGGAAGAAACATATAACTAACTTTTTTTAATATGCTTTTGGTTATTAATTCTTACCAGATTGTTAAATTTAGATCATTGTTGTTTTGTTTTAGGGAGAGAATTGTACGATTGTGAATTTACGCATATTGGGACTAGCTGATGGACTACGCGCCCGATGTGCTAATCTTTCTCCTGTAACCTTGATTATTAGCTAGGTAGCATCATTTCCAAGAGTGTGACGGTGTGACCCCTGCATACCTGATTATTGTACACTTTTGTTGACGGCATCTCCGCAAGTTAAAACAGGATTGAATTGGATGTTTGTATGTGAATACGGGTCTTCTTTACTAAGGGAAATCATTGATATTGACAGAAGGTTGCTTGATTCTAAAAAAGAATAAAGAGCGGGCATGTTAAATACCTGTCTGTCCCTTCGGATAGTCTGATAAAAAGCGCCGGATCGTGCTGAAGTACCCAGAGTGAACAGGTCCAAGTGGCTGCACAAGCCCAAGTTTATGTACAAAGACATAGGAAATCAGCCGGGAGGGAACAACCAACAAGAGGATGCTGTAAATAATCCAATGACTAGAATTCATTCACAGGCCCTCTATCAACCGTGGGATAACAGAGTCCGAAAAAGCCCATGTGGGAGTATGTAACTGCGCGGACCAAGCCGCACCCGTATACCAAGTGGATAGATAACCCTGCAGAGAATAAAGTTCCTGAATAAAGCCAGCTTTTAAGTCCTCGACAGAGGCCCGGATGTTAATAGATCCATGGTATGCAAAGTGGAGCCATTCAAGGCCCTTGTCAGTTGCTTCCGGCAGACTGCCTGCACCGATCAACTGGCGATAACTCTGCTCGATCAGCGCCTTTGACCCATTGCTATCCAGGGTCTCATTTCCAAACATCATAATCTTATGATAGCGGTCAGGAGAATCCATGCTTTTATACCACTACAGGAGCGACAGATCCGGGAGATCAAACCAGTTTCCAGAAGCGGTGTTAATAATGGTTGTGTTCAATGGCAGGTTCGATGAAACAACACCACCAGCATAGGCTTGCGTGTATGTTGTCTTAGACAAGACACTGAGTTCCCTTTTGTCGAGCTTGAACGGTGTGAGATTGGGTACAGTTGGTGGGATAGCGATGAGCAAACGCTTTGCGCGAATCTCGGTTTGGTTCCCGTCTGCGCCTTCGGCAATAATTATAACACCATTGGGTGTTCTTGTTGCATTGACGACAGTGCTTGAATAGAGGACATCATCACCCAGAGTGTCCGACACTCTATCATATTTTTCCTGGTTCCTGTGGGACGCCACATATAGAGTCCGGGCCTTGCCAGTGTAGACTCGGGCAAGCGGTGCTGGGAACAACTGCATAACATAAAAGGTCGGCTGAGTCTCTAGCTGCCCTAGGCCTACAGCCGATATGTCCCAGATCGTAGGCACAGCAGCCTCAATCTCGTATTTTCTCGCAAAATCACCAAAGTTTAAAAGCAGATCTTCTGGTATATTGTCGGCGGTGGGGAAATTCCACAGTCCGGGCAACATGATGTCCTCATATTTCTCGCACAATTCCACATACTTTTAGAATGCAGCAAGTTGTTCAGCTGCCGTGGGCGACGTGTAGTTTACGAAATTTCCAGTGCTGAAATCTGAATACCTGGTGTTCACTAATCCCTGTTCAGACGCATGTACCGATACATTAAACCGCGCAAAGAATTGTGTAGCATTGCCATAATCCAGGAGTGCCTCAACACCCAATTCGTAGGGCATACCAGTCTTTGGATCAGTCCAGGTATCAACCGCACCAGCCTGTCGAACGAGCACATCATTAGGCCTTGATCACCTGGTACGAAGGAATTATTTCCAGATTACTCACCAAACGTGTCTCTCTCTCAACCAATGCAATGCTCTTCCCATAGTCCTCACGGAGTCTAACAGCAGCATAGGCGCCAGCAGCACCCCCGCCAACAACTACCACATCCCTCGAGACGGTCTGGATAATAGGGCCTGCGGAAGAAATAGCAACAACGCTTGCCGCTGTCAGCAAGCTAGCTGCCTTCGCCAACATGATGTGCAAAAATATCTAACAAATGTAAAGATAAAATAGACGAAAGATGATTTTGAACTATTAGCAAGAGAGGGTATGTCATTATTTATACTCCCGTCATATCTTCCCGCTGACATAAAACAAAATGAAGAGGTCTATATGTTTATTGGGGCGCGAGTGGACTTGAATTCGGGCCGGAGCAAAAAGGAAGTTCTACTCTCCACACAAGGAGATAGGGTCTGTGGAATTATCTCCGTCCGAACGAAACGAAACGTAGCCAGTCTTACAGCATAATTTCATTGACTGGGTCTGCTAGAAGCCCACGATTGCGTTTTCGCCAATTTATGAGGGGATACGTGATGTTATACTACAAGTAACCTTCCGTTGACTAGAGAGGTTGTCAGAGAGCGGAAAGTGATCGAAGAGAGGGATCTTTTCTTGTGAGTCTGGGATCGGAAAGGTTACGAGGATGGGAAATCGAATGTGTAAATTTGTCAGCGGGTTGATATACCCCATCGTCACATTATTCGTCCTTCATAAGTAGAAGCTGTCTACCCTTCTTTCTATCTCATACTGTACTCGTGATCTCATCTACCATCTAGATTATAGCAGCACTCGGAGAATAGCACACGGGGAGGAAGTAACAAAATGGAGTGAAACGGAGAGAGAGGTGTTATTTGACTAGTTATGACCGATTAATTAAAGTAATGACCAGCTAGTTAGACGACAGGGAGTTCAATTGTGCCGTTTAGCCAGCGGAAGCATCCCCCCACATCCTCGTGTGCGAGGTCTAGGAGCTTGACATCGGATCTTTTGACTCGGTCAAAGCTTTTGAAAATCGTACATCCAAACTCCCTCGACTGGATATCGTGATTGAGAATGCCGGAATTGCGACTTATACGTTTGATATCTCCGAGGGCCATGAACGTACTATTACGGTCAACGTTATTAGCACCTTTCTGCTGGGCCTTCTACTCCTCCCTAAGTTGAAAGCAACTGCTAGAGCTTTCCCGACATCCAGCCCACGTCTCTCCATCGTGACAAGCGACGTTCACGCCTGGACAAGTTTCCCGGAGTGGACTGCAGATAACACGTTTGTCGCGCTGGACAGTAAGGAAACGGCAGATATACAAGAGCGCTATTCCACCTCGAAGCTCCTGGAAGTGTTGGTGGTGAGGGAGCTTGCCAACAGACTTGGAGATTCCGGAGTCAACGTCCGTCCAAAGCGAAGCTGGATTGGAGGCACAACAAAAAGTGTGGAAGGAATTGGGAGAAATCTTGGAGGATATTCAGCCAGGGATCATAAATTCCATCTAAACTACTTAGGGAGCTAGATATGTAAGGTGTTGGCCCGCTTTTCACTCTGTCGCCCTGCTATATAGCCGGTCCCCGCACGGTCCCTTTTTACTACCGTCTTCTCTGCTACTTCTATTGCTGTTTGGATCGTTCTACTCCTTCTCTTCTCTATACTTTTATACCTATTTGTGGTCTGGTTAAATTAAATTACGTCAAGCTTCTGTTGTATGTCAACAATACTAATAGTTAGTCACCGGTAATCGTGGCACCGCCTCTCACTAATACCTCCAGGGCCTCATAAAAGACTGAGTAGTAGCATCAGCTGTTTGGCAAGAGCTGTGTACCAGAATGTTAGGAAAATCTGCAAGCTCTTCGAATCAACGTCATAACATGCGCAATTGATGAAAACGGCGACTTCGTGATACGAAAGAGTCTGAATCGCAATGCTAAAGAGGAGCCGGATACCCGACCAAATGATACCTCTTGTCCTGCGCCAATAGTTGCCATAGTGACCAACCATAGTGACGCTTTTTAAGTTCTAGAACTAGGGTACTAGGTTATATTCAACGCCCATACATGACCTTCGGATGAAGAAGCACCCAATTAGATTGGCTAACCCGAAGATCCACGTCCACAAAAGTGAAGACCGGGATAAAAGAAATGTAACCTACTCTTGAATGCATTGACAAAGCATCAGTGCTGCTAGCAATGATTGGAAGTACAGAAGTTTACTAGAAACAATATAACAACAAAGCGATTGTTTGGCAATACCGGGTATAGTATACGTAGGTATTACCGTCATTTAAGTTTCCTTACCGTTGCCCTTTCTTAGCCTTTGTCTTTCTTAGCCTTAGCCTTTCTTAGCCTTAGCCTTAGCCTTTTGCGGCAGATGCAGCCTTAAGCGGCTAAAACGCCACCCGTCACGGAAACCTTATTTCAAGACATTCAAACATCAAGTTGAACCATACAATTGCTATTAGTGGAATCTAGACGTTACCTATGAATGATGTTAGCTTTAGCAATATGCTCGTATTAGAATGAGAAAAACCTGGCTGCAAAGAGTCTAAAAAGTATCATCTCCATCCAATCGGTGGTGAATCTCATCGCCTACACCGAGGTGGGTCTGTTCCAATCCTGATTATCTCGTCAACCTTTATACAACGCAGCCAACCAAGCTTCATATCATGTTCTCGTGATCCCAAGGTCTTTTACAACCTTCCAAATGCGGTGCGGGGTAGATCTAGGCCTAACGGTTTTTCGTGAATCATGTCACTCGACCTTGTCACCAACCATAAAACATCAAACCACGGGTTAAGTGGTTCGCCCGTAACTCTGTCGTTCGGCCGCAGCTTCCTAGGTATCAGTGGGCTGTGATGGGCATGATATCCATCCTTCATGAAATTATTTAAGGACGGAAGATTCCCACACTTGCGTGAACATTCAGACCACTTCTGAAAGCTTTACTGCACTCAATTCAATTGCTCAATCAAATTCAAGTCAACCCAACCCAAAGACCTTTTCCTCCAATATGAAGTTCGTCGAAGTCTCCGCCCTCTTCCTCGCCTGTCTCTCTACTGGGGCACTTGCAGGAGATGCAACTGTCCAACTCGCAAACGACAAATCCGGCGCTAATGCCAATGTTGCTATTCCTACCGATGGTCACCCGCGGTCCGTCGCTCATCTCTGGGGAAAGACTCCAGTTTCGAAGGATGGGGTTGTGTATGCCTCGAGCGCACAACTCGTCGCATTCCAGCAGGACACTTCTTGCGTGATCTTTCAACGCGATCACTATCACGCTGAACTCGATGCTCAAAAGACTTGGGTGTCACTAAGTGGAGGTGAAGTGGTCGACTTGAACCGTGCATTTGTGGTCTGCGAAGACGAGTGAGCTTGTATAAGCAGGACCGAAGGAATGACAGCTGCTATCTATTGTACTTCACTATTGGACTGCAGATAATGGAGGACCCCGTATGTAATAATCATCGTGTTGGAAGTTCTTGAGTTGAAACACATGTGAAAACTCCGAACAAAAGAAATGAAATCGATTTTAAGAAACAACGGCATACCATAATGAGTATTCGAAACAAGTAGGACCGATAAATTGATAACTCCAGGCTTGAGTTGAGGGGATAACGGTCAAGAGTCTGGTAAAAAACTGCATTTGGATGGGGCTTGTGGCAGAGGTAATGTATTATGCTTACGCCGAGGATCGTATAATGCATGGACGGTTACTAGCACAGATATTCAAATGGCATTATTTAAGTAAACGATGATATAGAGCAACAAGATGGATGGGGGTACAATATCCGACTGGCCGACATTAAGCATTATGCCAAGTGAAGGTCAAAAATGGGAGAGGCAGATGAAGAGAGTAAAAAGCGAAAGAAATTAGATGAACTGCTATAATTGACAAACAAGGACCCCAGAAAGAAAACCCACACAAGCCAAAAATCAATGGATAATTAACAAGTAGAGAAAGTGAGTGACAGACAAGAAGGATTGGAGGAGATGAAATAAAACAATGAATGTGGCCTGCAATACCAGGCCTGTGTGATTTCCGGGTCTTGGATGAGATGATAAAGAGTGTGGAGGTGAATGATCGGACAACATGAGATGCTAAGTGCTTTTGCAGGGCTGGAACGCAGCATGCTAGGGTGTTTTGCGGGTACAATGTTGAGAAGTGAAAGACGATAGTTGGCTGACAGTATTTGAGGGAGATACTTCATGATGGGATCGAGAGGATATGAGAGAAATAAGTCGGAAATGACTTATTTGCGGTTAGGAACAGAGTCCAGAACGCGCGACATTTTCTTTGCACGAGCTGGGTCTTCAACAACCATGCCACGGCGCATTAGTGTGGTCTGCACGGTCTCCACGACCTTGTTGAAAGACGACGCGGCGCCACGCTCCTGTTTGAAGCGGACCAAGCTGAGGTTGGCTTGGTGGCCGTGCTCAAGAACAGTGTAAAATTCAGCAGTGAACTCAACCTCTCGAAGATGGAGGACTAACGGATGATTAGTATAAGGGTTGGATCAGATGAGACGAGTGGCTTACAATTTGCTTCGCTGACACGACCGTGAACTATGCTGTTGGTCTTGTCCAGGTACACATCTTCCATACCGAAATCCCGCCACTCGCGAAGGAGCTTGTATAGTTCCTTGCGTCCCTTGACCTTTGAAGTGTTCAACGCAATGACTTGGGTAGCAGGCTTGATCTGGAAAACCCGGGCAAACCAGTTGTGGTTGGCGATTGAGCGGCGCTTTTGGCTGAATGGGTTTGGCGGATCGTCAGCTTCAGTCGAACTGTCAGTGTCTGCGAGTCCCTTGCACATGAATGAAGAATGACGATTATCCTTGGCTGGCGTGGTTTGGATATCTTTCTCCGGGTCTATCAATTATAATTAGCATATTGCACATAATTTTCGAAGGTTACACTCACTAGTAGGAGGTTCTTCCATATTTTGGGTGGACTTTTTTGTCAAAAGTTTCTTGAAAAAGCCACCGCCAAAGCGATCCATAGATGTCTTTCGTTTTGGGGCCCGCTCTTTGTTCTCTGCCTTGGGAGGAGAAGCGGGCTCGAGGGTAATTGGATCGTGCACAGTCGTTCCTCCACTGGGGATGATGAGGTGGGTGTCCTTAGGTGGGAGAGCAGGAGGAGTATCAGAGCCCTGAACGCGATGCTTAAACCATGACCATTTCTTTCCTTCGGGGGCCCGGGGTGTTGTTTTCTTAGGAGACAGAGGAACTTCTTCAATGGGAGCCAGGCCACTAGGTTGACGACCACGTCGAGAACCAATTGAAAATTTCTGATCGCCGCCCATAGAGTCACCCATAGTAAATTCATGAACGTGTGGTGAAACGAACTTGCTGGAGTTCTTCTTCCGAATAGTCAAGGGCTTAACCTCCTCCATGGAGGGAAGTGAGCTGTGGGGGACCATCCGGATAGTTGCCTTAGCATCACCGCCCTGATATGTAGCGACCGACCCCCGTGGCTTTTGCTGACGTCGAGGGCTGGTTTCAATGGGGCCGCGGACAGGGCTTGCGTAATTCTCATTGGAAATAGGTAGGGAGGGCTCATTCGGTGAAGTGACGAAAGGATCTTGGAAAGACGCTACATCCAGCTCTCTCTGTGTACCATTCTTGACTTGGTCTTCTTCAATCAAGCGATCGAGATGAGTAATGACACCGGAAAGATAGCCACCAACGTTGTCCTCTCGACCCCGGCTATGCTCAATAAGCTTTTGACGTGTCTCAGTAAGTTCCTTGATATTGTAAGGCTGAGATGAGTCCTTGGCAGTATTAGATACCGGGATTGTCGGAGTAGGATGAACTTGCTCAGGGCTTGCCATTGACACTGGTGTCGCCGGTGTTTCGTATCCAGATCCACCACTCGTGGTGCGAATAGTTGTAACAGAGCTTCCATTGAATGCCTCCTCGCAAATCTGGCTGAGCTCATGGGACACTTTTCGCGTGTCCTCCCTCCACGTGTAGTCTGTTTCGCGAACCTTTCTGACTTGCCCCAAGCTCTTGACTTTCGGACCATTCGTTCGTACCACGGTTGGCTGGGCTGGTAGGGGCGGGCTGCTTGGCATGTCCGGGAGATCGAGGCCATCTGCCATAAGCTGCAAGCTGCAGGTGCTCGGTGAGCGCTTAATCTCAGTTTGCTGAGTTGGCGCAGCAATCTTTCTCTTCTTTTGTTTGGCAGATGCATTTCCATGAGATCGGTTGCGAGCGTGGTGGAAGGAAACGTTGCGTCGATAGCTCATGGAGTGTGTCGACAACCCGGGAGCCCGGGAGCTGGAATGAGGTACCTTGGAAGAGACGAAAGACTTCATAGAGCTGGGCCCGTGCTTCCGCTTCTGGAGAACAGTGAAGGGTGATCCATCTGGCCCGTCCAATTCCTCTGGCTCTTGCTCCTCCGCAATGGAGGGCGGGGGGTTCACCCTTGGCGATGATAGAATAGCTTGAGATTTCTCCGAGGACTCTCGATGGACAGTAATATTGACATACTGTGCTTCCGATGTTGTACTACTGTGGTTGGGTGACCGATATGGGTCATAGCTTGCAGTAGAACCGGAGGACATCGGTTCCTTGAAGGAACTGACCCGACGAGGGAACTCTTTGACAGATGGGAACTGGGCGCGACACTTGGAATTACCCTGGCCCGTCTGGCTGCGGCCTCGACGAACTCTACCACCGGGGCGGGAGATGTGGTGATAGTCACTAGCTGAGTGCTCTAGAGGTTGTCCTTGGTAGTTCTCAAGCTGCTCATCGCGAAATCTTGCCAAAGCGTTGTAGAACATCCGCTCATGGGTCGGTCTGATAGTGGTTTGTTAGCGTGATGCGAGTCGCTCTAAAATTTAGCAGGCGGTACTTACTCGATACATAGAAGCCTCTGAATTAGTTCCTCGGCCTTGACATCATGCCATAAAGTCTGCAAATTGCGAAGGATATCAAGATCAATGTCCTGCTGAGAGGACAGGGTTTTGCCGCAGTCCTTCACGGACAGGGCAGGAGGTGGACCGACGTAGTGGTCAACCATGGCATTGTGAAGCTTTTCATATTTGGTTAACAATGGATGCAACCAAATGTTTTGCATGGATACCCGGTCCTCCGGACGCTTTTGGAGGATACGCTGGATGAGATCTGCTGCTTCGTCGCTCAACTCGGGTGGAATTATGTAGTCCCCTTTCTTCACAAGCCGCAGGGTGCTTCCCAAATCACCTCCATCGAAAGGCAAATAACCAGTCAAAAGGGCATACAGGATAATACCACAGCTCCACATATCAGCTCTGTCGCCACGATATTTCCGGCCATAAATGATTTCCGGTGCTGCATAATGAGGACTACCACATGAAGTGTTCAACCAGTGGCCTGCAGGTTGCAGTGCAGCCATACCAAAATCAGCCAGTTTCACGTTATGATTCGCATCCAGCAAGATGTTCTCGGGCTTCAAATCGCGATGACAGATATTGAAACGATGACAGTAGCCGAGGGCCGCAATGATTTGTCGGAATAGTCGCACAGCCTCTTCTTCCGGCAGTGGACCATTGTTAGATACATAATCGAACAACTCTCCACCCTCGACATGTTCAAGGACAAGGTACCTAGCGAGCGTGTTAGTTTGTTTTCAATCCTGAAGGTGGTTGAGACGAACAATTCTCCACGGTTCTCCCAGACATCATAGAGACTGATCACATTCGGATGTTCAATCAACTTCATGATGACCACTTCGCGTTCAATCCCACAGGGCATTTGTCGGGTGGCTGAATTGTTAGGGAAGTTTCCCATATTCCGGTCCATTGCTGCGATACTCTCACTCTGAACCATAGCAGCTGACTTTTTTGAAACGATCTTGATAGCGGCCGTGTGTCCGGTGACAGCATGCTTGGCTAGTCTAACCCGTCCAGTGGCCCCCTTCCCCAGTGTTCGTCCCAGCTGCCATGGTCCCACGTGTGTTTTTCTTTTCCCTTTGGAAGACAGGAGAGATGCGGCAGACATGATCGAGTTTCGGGCTGAGTCGGGTTGCAGGTCGGTAGCCACGGATAGGCGCTCATTTTCTTTGTTTCTCCATGGGGTTGGGGTCATAGGAAAAGACATCCTGTCAGGACTCTTCATCTGCTCTGATTCCTCGATCCTTAGGCGCGGTGTCTCGACATTTGGCGACCTAGACTGGTTGATTCGGCTCGATGCATCTCTCAAGGGCTGACGCCTCCGCTGAGAGTCATTGGCGTCCGACATTGTCTGGTCTATGGTAAAGGTGGTGCAAAGCGTATTGGCGTGTTTTTACAAGTCTCGTTAAATTGGGGAGATTAGTTCTCAATCTAGATAGACTCCATTAGCTGATCCTTCGACGTCAAAGATAACATTAGCTAACGCACTGAAAATTAGATCAAACGCAAAAAGGACAACTCCTTCCGAGTCTCAACGAGAAGAAGTTGTTTGTAAAGATCGGCTCCAGAATTTTCTGGGAAAGAAGGAAGAATAGAAATCAAAGAGTGACAAGGACTGGTTAACACCACATCATAGACGGAGGATGCAGCAGGCAAAAAGAAGAAAAAAGAGAGAAGACTTCGAGAGACAACCCCCAACTGACTGAAATCGAGGTAAAAACACAAGACGAAGGGAAAAATATTGGAAGTGCCAATGTTCATGAAGGACAAGAGGTTGGCATTGGCATACTTCGGCTGGACTGGAATGAGAGAGATACCTTCCTTCCCATCGGAATGTACTTAGCCTTAGCACCTTCTATTGTTGTTTACTATCTATCTACCTGTTTGACTCCGTTGTAGGCATTTTTGCCTTGTTTCATTGTGTGAATTGACTTATCAGCTTGATTCCATGCCACTATTCACACTTCCCACCTCTCTTCCCTCACTCTCCCCCATATGACTCGCTTTGTTTTGCCTTTCTTTTTTTTTTTTTTTTTTTTTTAATTTCTGCCAATTCCTCTCTTAAATAACTATATGTACTTATCCAAACAGTTTAAATTCGTACAATGCTTTCATTGCCTTCAATTGCGATCGAGGGGGGAGGAGGTGGCATTCCCCCAAAGAAGGGGGATAATAACAAATCAACCATCAACCACCAACTCCAGGCTTACTCGCCACTTTATTTGTACAGGGGCCTACTTGGGTATCTATGTTGGACATTCCATATCCATAAGCTTTTCATCTTCTAATCTCCGGTTCTTGGGGTGAAATTAAGAGTCCAATATGTCTCTTATATGAAATTCGTATAGAGCTCTAGTTATAGTAATTAATGGTGCATCACATCCTTAGGTCCAATTCGACTATTCAAATATATGTAGGTATGTCCATCGTAATATCACCAATGCTCCTCACTAATAGGTACATCGTTCACGTCAACCTCATCTGCAAACCATCGTCCCTCGCCATTACCTTCCGGTCCGATCAGGACATCATTTCCACTCATCATACGTTTGCGCATCTTTCCGGCCTCATTAAAAGTCCAGTCTTCCAATCCATAACACCTCTTCCAGCGCATTCCATCTTCCACGTCCTGAAACTCATACCAAAACTGCACAGCAATGCGATCATCCTGGAAAGCAAAAAGTTCCTTCCGAAGTCGATAACCACGCTCACGTTTCCATTTCGCTTCCAAGAACGCCACGATAGACTCCGTCCCGGTAAAGAACGAGTCTCGAACACGCCAGATAGATGTTGGGGTGTATGCCTGAGCAACTCGGACAGGATCCCTAATCGTCGATGGTCAGAGTGTGCGATTACGTCGTCTAAGTTTGCAACTCAAACAACAATTCATCTGAAGAACGCAAGATGGGCCCTTCCCAGTTGGGGTATACTCGCATGTGTCCAGGACAATCCGCACAGACCAAAAATACAAGTCGGCAAGAATGCAAGGGATGAATGCCCTTTTTTTCGAACACATGGTTTCGTCAAGGGCCATAGAAGATAGGAAATCGGACACGTACTTTGTATTCCACAGATCCTGCGCTACTTTGACTTTCTTCTGCGCAGTCTCTTTGGTAAATGGCGGTTTGAGATCTGCCATGGTGAGGATATATGGGAATCAAGCTTATTTTTAGTTCGAAGTTGTGAGGTTGAGAAGCTTAACCCCTTTCCTTTCCCAGATCCCGCCCCCTTTAACCCCACCCATATACCGCCTTCCCTTATCGCCTATACCGCCTATATGAAATGAACTGGTAGACCTCAGCCCTCTTGAGTTCATGTCATATATCTGGATATTTTGGTTTGTTGTCCTAAAATGATATCTAGCCTTTTGTAAACAATCATTAAAAGCCAGACATTTTGATTTACAATGGTATCAAAGAAAATCTTCTGACCGGCAGAATATTATATAATCACAGTGGTGTGGGGCAGGGGTGTTAACACTTTTGAACAGTCCCTGTAACGTCGTGCAAAGTACGGTTTTTTTTACGACATGGAGATCTGCTAAGGTTGTAGGTGAAGATAATTGTATAAGTGATTGTATAGGCCAAAAATGGTTACAGGCAAACAGTATACGGTGATTTGACAGATAGGTATCGTACTAAATCTTGCACTCGGAAATATATATATTTTTGACTCATCGTATCGAATTGAATATAGGTCTGTCCAATGAATAAATCAATCCCTTCTCACTATTCATGTTTCAAATGTAGGATATCCGCTTTGCTACTTTTATAATTCGCGTTGGGGTTAATTGTTATAGCACACCTAGGTATGTTGTAGGTGAGAACTATATATTTCCTGTCTACGTAGGTAACAACAAGCCAACTCACCACACTATATCCAAAACATTTATAAATATTGAACTAGATATTTGTTTGAGGTAGAAGCAATAAGTGCATACTTGTATATATGAATAATATCCCAGACAATATCTGGTGACTTTATTTAACATTGTATACATAGTTATAGCATAGCACAGAATAGAATGAAACCTAAGTGAAAACTGATGATCTAGGGATCGTTTATGTTCAGAACAAAGGTATTAATGAAATTGTTCTCAATAATTAGATTGTACCTTCCTTGCACAGGACTCTTTGTCTCATACAAGGAAAAGTTCAGGATGAAAGAAAACAAAACTTCAATGGTATTCATTTCATTGAGCTCCACGGCTCTTTGGAAATGCTACAAATATATAGGTTTTCTTCCCACTCCATATTCTCCACGCAAGGCTAGTCTCTAGTCTCGCGAGTACTTACCCCGAAGCTCTACCATTTTCAACAAACCCATGATCCATTATGTGCAAAATGCGTTATAAATGGTACCGTGGCCACTGCGGTATCAGTGGTTGTGGACACACAGAAGCAGTGTGGATCGAGCGCTGTAAAAAAGCGAATGCCCGTGAGAGACGAGTACCTTGTCCTAATCCACGTCCCACGCTCCGTATCACCGAGGCTTTTGCAATGGGTCTTTGTCGTCCCTGTCTTGGTTGGGGCGTGTTAATTCCGGGAGCTCCTGAATTGGTCAACCCAGAGCGGGTCGATAGGCCACGCCGACAACACCGGGGTATTGACTCATTGACTTCATAGTTTGACTTCTAGCGTCTAAAATGATTCATAAATAAGATTCCACCGCCTTACTCTTGAAGAACAGATTGGATTTTAAGTTGGAATTTGAAAGTTTGTATGTTTAAAAAAAAAAAGAGTCCGATTGTACATCGTCGGTCGGTGTCAAGGAATCCAAGTCTGTTTCAGGGACCCGGAATTATTGGGTGATGGTGAATATATCTATTTGTTGTTTTGGTCCTTGATGAAACCCCTTCACAGCTTAGACAAGGGCTGGTGTGAATTCTCCAACACTTTCTGAACCTGCACTGCAGTTTGACCACTCGCTGCCTCTAGGAGATCTACAACCAGCGGTCCCACCAAAGACATCTTGGAGATTGGTACCAAATTTGGCGATAGTAGTATAACCGAGGAAGATGTTTGTGGCACGTATTCGGCGAAGGAATTTGAGTTGATGCTGGTATGGCGAGAAAGGGGTTCGGCCAAGGGGTCGGGGCCATGCAGCTGGCCAATTTCAGATGAATCGCTATCCCTAGCCCCCGCTTCGATAATGACGAGCGACGAGGGATAAAATCCGGCATTCCTTGTGCGAATGCCAGCGTTCTTTTCCCAGGCAATGTGCTCACGTAGGCTATTTGATCGACTTGTTGCCCCAGGAAAAATTGCACGCCTGCATCTTGTGCTGCACGATAGACCTATATTGCAATCATATAGTCATCAGTAATTATTCTATTTCCCTTTTTTTTTTGTGTGTGTTTTTTTTTTTTTTTTTATGGAAAACAAATGGCTTTAGGGATACACTACATTTGTCAATTCTCCGAAAGGGATATAGTCATCTTTTGCGAATACCGAGACATTTGTATAGCCTCGTAGAGAAAGATGCAGTGCTACCGAGAGGCCAAAGGCGCCAGCGCCAACGATGATAATCGAATCCGATGTGGAAACGCCCATGATGAAAGAAGAATAAAAAGTGCATTTGCTTATTTGTGGGCTATTGAGCTGATATAGTATTTCCCCCGCATTCACCCCCCAAAACAGTTATAAAATGCGGGAGTTGGAGAAAAGTGTTCCCCCCAAGAGCTGAGGGGAAGTTGTTGACGGGGGGACGTCCGATGGTTTCTCCAATTTTATGTTTCTATACCTTGTACTAGTTATATATATTTCATATTTAAACTAGTTATAGATTGTATACTTACTTTGAAGACTTGGAGATTTTTGACCAAATCTACTATAAAGGTTGTTGACTCGAACATTTATTATAATGTATCCATCCATGGAGTACTTGAAGCAGAAGAAATAAATGCAAATTAGCATAGTTTCTGGAGAAAAAGTACTCTCACTCTTGACCTTGAAAATCCCCTGCAACTCATGAAACTCATGGCGTTTAGATGTTTTTGTTGTACATCGGAGTCGATTCAAGCGGGGTATAGATTCTCCACACTCGGATGCGTTCCCGATGTGCTTCAAAATTCAGAACTTGTTGCCTTTTGGTTTCACTTCCTTTGAATAATTTACTTATTCGTCTGATTTCAACGTTAAATCATGGATATCCAAGATGGAACCCTTTGCATCCTAGGCTGTGGTAAATGCGGAAACCCATAGGCAAAATACATCGACTAATCCTTCTAGGAAACCTGGGCATTGCCATTCTAGACGGGTTGGTCAATGCACCAGAGAAATCCAAAGATCTACCATTTGCCCGATACATTGCATGCGTGCGCAGTGAAAACTCAGAGAAGAGGCTATCCGAGCGATTCGCCGAGTCCTTGGACAAAATACGAATTTCTCGCGGCAACAATATACAAGCCGTACAAAACGCCGATGTCATTATTCTAGGCGCAGACCCCGCCGATATCGAGACCGTCCTGACACAACCCGGGCTCCGCGACGCCTTGACCGACAAGCTTATCATCAGCATTGCAGCCGGCTGGACAAGACAAAATCTCGAAGCTACAGTCTACGGCAGTGCAACCACTGCCGATAACACAGCTGGTAGAGCCTGGGTGGTGCGCACATTACCAAACATCGCAGCCCAGGTGTCTCAATCACTGACGGCTATTGAAACATCGGAGCCCGCATTGCCGGCAGCGTATCTCCAGATAACGACATCGATCTTCGAGCAAATTGGCAAGGCAGTACACGTTGATTCGAAGTTAATGAATGCTACTACCGCTGTCGGGGGCTCCACTCCCGCTTTCTTTGCTGTGATTTGCGATGCAATGATTGATGCCGCGGTTGCGGTTGGTATGCCACGGGACCTGGCTCACACCATGATCTTTCAGTCAATGCAAGGGACGGCAACGATGCTTCAGAGTGGCATCCACCCTGCCCTGTTGAAGGATCAAGGAACATCCCCCGAGGGTTGCACGATTGGCGGGTTGATGGTGATGGAAGAGGCTGGTGTGCGTGGGCATGTTGGACGGGCGCTTCGGGAAGCTGTTACTTTGGCTCGTTTGATGGAGACAACACCTCATGTTAATGATACAAGACATTGATCTGCTATTTAGGGAGTAAGCTGAGGGCGACCTTCGGTATCATACACATATTAAGCATTGTATGTAGTGAAAAAAGAAATATATAGTATTTAAAATCGCAATCCAGCAAATTTCGGGACCACCACTCTCCATGAAGATATCAAGAGTATGCTCCCAGAAAAATCCGTTAGCCCCGCCCTCCCGATAGCGCTTCGAAGCATTATGGAATATAAATATTAGAACCTTCCAAGTTTGATACCGGTGACGACCCCTGACTTCCTTCCGAAAATGTCACCGAATAAACACAACGATCTATAGCAAAAGGAAATTGACGGTTTCAACCTTCTCTATTTGCTTCAGCATTGGTCAATCCAAAATCCGTATGCAAATCCTCCGTGAGCTCCAGTTGCTTAATGGGTATACACAGAAGCAGCCCGATACCACCAAACGGGATGGAAATCCACCACACCCATCGCAGACTATCTTGGTACACACTGAGAACTTCCGCCATAAGGTTCGGGGTATTGTGCAAAGTACGCATCAGCCCTTCACTGGCCATAGCATATGCACCACCATTAGCAAGCTTTGCGCGCAGAGAGACATCACTGACGCGATACAGCAGCTCCTGGACACGTGCGTTGAAGATAGTGGTTGGAACAACAATACCCCATATACAACCAAAGCTGCGCATAAATGCCCAGGTGGAGGTTGCAGTAGCCACATCAGACTCGGGCAGCGATGCCTGAATGGGGGGTAAAGTGCTGGAGAAGATCATGCCAGAACCAGCGCCGAAGAGTATCTGGAAGCCAGCCCAGTCACGAGCAGGTGAATGGCTGTCCAAGAGCGAGAAGAGGCCACTGGCGGTAGTGAGGAATATATATCCCAGGAAGTGGAAGATGCGGTATTTGCCAGTCATGGCGATGATAACTCCCGTGATGATGCCAAAAGGCGCAATTGCGGCAGTGATAGGAAGCACGTATAACCCGGATTCCGTGGCAGTCGAGCCACGTATAGCCTGGAAGTAGACCGGCAGGAAATATCCGACCCAGTATAGTAGGACAGACTGAATAAAAGCAATCCACAGTGCGCATGTCCCAGTTCCACTTGAGAACAGCCGGAGGGGAATCGAGGGCTCAACGCAGAATCGTGACACTTGATGACCGTAGAAAAGGAAAAGCCCCCCGAGCCCTAGGATAAGAGGGAAAAGAACTCGCCACGAAGACCAGGGATACGTTGTCCCAGCCCAAGTGAGGGCGAGCAAAATCGAGATAACAGCAGTTGTCAGGATGGAATTACCAACGAGGTCCACGCGCTTGAGCTGGTGCCACACGGTGCCATTGTTATGCGGGTGTGTGACTCGAAGGAACAACACTAGCAGTAGAAGTGATGCAGCACAAAGTGGTAGGTTGATATAGAAAACCCAACGCCACGAGACATACTGGGCAAACGCGCCGCCTAAAACGGGGCCGATCACCGTTCCAACTGCCCACACAGCTGCCATGAGGGCGACATATTTACCTCGCTGGCGGAGGGGGACTAGGTCGCAAATGACGATGTCCACGAGAGTGTTGATACCACCGCCACCGATGCCTTGGATTGTTCTTCCCGCAATAAGAAGTCCAGTGTTCTTCGCACCCCCGGCCATGCCACTCCCTAAGGCAAATATGACAACCGAGATGATCAGCATCCATCTCCGACCGAAGATGTTTGCGGTCTGACCAAATAGTGGTAGGACAACCGTCGATGATAGAATGTATGAATTCGTGATCCACATATATAGCTCGCCGGCATTAACATCCAGGGCGATTGTGGGAAGGGCGGTTGAGAGAATGGATGTATCGAGAGCCGAGAGGAAAGTCGTCACGCATAGTGCTGGGAACACGGCCCAGAAGCGCCATGTCTTCTTTGGGGTGAGACGGTCACTATTAGATTGCGTTGGTATTTCTCCATGGTGTTGATGTTGTTCTTCTGCAGCTAGCTCGGTTGTCGATGGCTTTTCCATAACTTTTCCCTTGACGATAAATCTACTTCTGCCATGATATTAATATGTCGTGAAAACACAATGACATCAGGATGCGACGAGACATTAGTATGGAGCTAACACTTGAATTCCGAAACCCGCTCCCCAAACCCGATCCACGGGAGATTGCTGTTAATCTTTGCCCAAAGGACGTTAGACGCACGTGGCATCGGGGCCTGGACTAGCGGCACTGAGCCACCAATGATATTCTGGGACTACCTAGGTAGCAGTCAGTAGTTAGTTATGGGTCTCAACAAGATGGCATGAGCGAAAGTACGAAAGTAGTACTAACTATAGGTACGGAGTACGGAGAATTTGCTAGTATTTGCTCAAAAGACCATGGCAGATTAACCCGAGACATTGCCAATACCCCCTATCACGTCAACATTTGGCTGAATCCGCCAAAAATGCCTTCTCGCTCTTTTAATGCATAGGGAACTTCTTATGGTATTAATACCTCTGACAGTTGACACGGATCTGAGCATATTTGATTGGTGGCTATGTGCTTTTAGCCCTCATTTACATGTACATAGTACATGTATGTCCTGAACTGTTTGCCAACAGGCTACATACATGTGCATAGTATATTGGTGCTTAGGAAACCCTATGGGTAAGATCCCGGTACTAGTAATGGTCCATGGGATCAATACCGTGCTTATGTCATCCATGGATGTAAAAATCTAAGGCACACACAGGTACAAGGCACCAAGTCACCTGACCTTATCATCCCACCTTATACCTTAGAGATCAGGCATTTTATAACATCATCCCCCACCTCAGTCCCTCATTTTGGGCCAATAACAAAAAAAAAAAAAAAAAACAGAACACGAGAACGGCTAGGAACAGGAATACTAAATCCGAAGCAAATAACTAATCATAATATCTTAATAGCCGATACAACCTGGGCAATAATCTGGGCTGACTCATCCTCTGATCTGATTCGTTCTATAACTTAAGTATGAATAATACAAAATCAGATAACGCCCTCAAGTCTCGGCCATCTTTTCTTGATAATCCATTTGATTCGGTATCTTTCTTCTTCGGATCACCTCACTTTCTGGTAAATTCAGGGCCCAAAGTCCCCACTTCGCCATAAATCCCGATGGGCCGATATGTGTAAGCCGTACTATTAAATACCCTCCTCCAAGTCCATTCTTCTTTCTTTTCCCCTCTTCCTCTCGTATCCACAATCTTAAACTTCAATCTCTCTCTCTCTCTATATCCTAAATACTCAATCAAATACTCAAAATGGCCACTAAGGGTTTCAACGCTGGCGATGCCTTCCCCCAGGATGTGACCTTCTCGTGAGTATTTGAGTTCCCTCTCTTCAATTGTGTCCCAACTAACAAGACAACAGTTACATCCCCTGGTCTGAGGAGGCCGGCGAGATCACCTCTTGCGGTATCCCCATCAACTACTACGCCTCCAAGGAGTGGGCTGACAAGAAGGTCATCCTCTTCGCTCTTCCCGGTATGTGACCGCTCTTTCAAAAAAAAAAAAAAAAATTCAATTTTCCCCTTCCCCTCTTTCCCTCTTTCCCTGTCATCTGCAAGGTTCTCACGCTGACCGCAACTCTACTCTATAGGTGCTTTCACTCCCGTCTGCTCTGCCAACCACGTTCCCCAGTACCTCCAGAAGCTCCCCGAGCTCCGCGCCAAGGGTGTCGACCAGGTCGCCGTCCTCGCCTACAACGATGCCTACGTCATGAGCGCCTGGGGCAAGGCCAACGGTGTCACCGGAGATGATATTGTATGTGATCCATCACCCCTCCATTTAACCTCTTGCCAATCCCCCAACAAATCATGGACTCAATTGACTGACTGTCCTTTTTTTTTTCTCTAGCTCTTCCTCTCCGACCCCGAGGCCAAGTTCTCCAAGAGCATCGGCTGGGCTGACGAGGAGGGCCGCACCTACCGCTACGTGATCATCATTGACCACGGTAAGGTCACCTACGCCGCCAAGGAGGTCGCCAAGAACAGCCTCGACCTCTCCAGCGCCGAGTCTGTCCTCAAGCAGCTGTAAATTCACTCGTTTGAAAATAGATGTGGGTAAATGGGCTGGCGCATTGTTTCATGGGTGATTGGGGGGGATCGGACTGCGGTATTTGTGAGCAAATATCCAGCACGGTTTCTCCCCTCTCCTCTCTGCGGTTTTCCGAATTTTTAGATCGCCATGTTACTTGCTCTGTTACCTGAAGAGTGAAATACCTTTAATGAAGCCACGAGTTCATTCTGTCTATTCTTCTCTGTTATCTTTATCCGAGTAAATTGGTAGTTGTCTTAAGGTTGATTTGTTGTACGACATAGATACAGTCTTAGAACTATACCTTGTCGTTTTGATTGGCGCGCTGCTATTATATTGGACTAGTGCTGAAGGCCAGTGCCACTGTCCGTGCTCAACGCCCTCGATGGAGATCTAGATCGTCAGCAGGTTAATTGCCAAGCATCCAAACTACATAATAAGTAGCTTTGAAGTAGAATAGTCTACTATATTGTACTTCGTAGGCCTGGCATCAGAATAAATGAAGTTTATGATATACAGCCTACTTCACAATGGTCGATCATATATGGATAGTGTCAATCGTTGAATTTCACCAATGAAGGTATTAAAAGTTGAAAGCCCGTCCCGGAAAGCAATGGATATAACGCAAACCCCAAAAACCCCATTCAACACCAACCTCAAAAAATCAAGAATTCCTCAAATTCGATGCCATGGTGACAGATTTAGTCTTCTTCTGATCTTCCTTCGTCCGCAAGCCACGACTCAGCCCACCGCCGAGACCACGCGCCAGAGACGCAAACGGCGATGAATCCTGCCACACATCCAAATCATGTTCGAGTTGGCCAACGCCCTTGGAAGGCGGTGTTTCTTTTCGGGCGGGAGTCAACGCAACGGGCTCAGATTGTCGACGATGAGAATGTTTCGCCTGTACAATACTGTACTGGGTAATGGGCGCATACTCTTTGGGGTCGGGAGATACTGTTTCCAGCAAAGGCATGGGGACATCGACGGAAATGTGCTCGGAACATTGGCAGCCGCATCCTGTTGGACAGGTTGGAAGGGAATTGTGCTGATCTGCGTGGTCGAATGGGCTGTCGGATTTGTCGGCTGGACGAAGGAACCATCGCTGATGACAGTCGAAACAGCTCACGTGCCCACAGCTCAGGCAGGGAATCAGCATACCGTCGACCACCTCGCCGCAAATGACGCAAGGTAGTCTGGTTGGTAGTGGCTGCCGGGGTTTGCAGTTGGGGCATCGACGTCCTGATGGTTTACGCCGGTGTCGCTTGGAGGGGGGATTCGGGACTAGGGGTTCTTTGTTAAAGATGGAGAGTTGCAACGCGTGACCGCAGCCGGCGCAATGGCGCTGGAAGTCAAGCGCTTTGGGGGTTGGCTCCAGCTGTGAGTCTTTCAGCGCGGTCTCATTTGAGTCGGTACTGTTCCAGTAATGGCTTGAAGTCAGGTCGTCCACTCGATCAGCCACGGCTCCAATCTTTATCACTTCGCTTTGTTGAACGGGAAGATCCCAAATCGATAATAGATTGGCATAAGCAACGCGGTATGACCGGTACAACAATTCCTCGTCATCTCTGCCAAGAAAAGAGTCTTGCGCGTGTCCGTCGCTTTCAAATGCACTTTGGTTCTTGAATGTGACCTTAAATCTTGCATGTGGTGGTGTAGGCTCAGGCGAGTGATCGCTTTCTGTGTCGGATTGAGCCTGTGACTAGAGAGCAACTGAGGTTAGCCAGTATCTCACAAAGGGGTTGATACTACTTACCACTTGTCCGGCTGCCACACCCGGGCTGTTTTGAGGAGTCGGCTTTTTCTTGTCCATCCTACTTGTCGGTGGTGACGCAGATGACGGTCCGAATGTAAATGAACGAGATAATGAGGACGCCAACACTGATCCAAACCCAGATCCACTTCGTGCCTGGGATTGCTGGTCGGGCGATGCAGCCATGGAGACATTGTGGCTCGGATGTTTTCGGTGGTCAGCAGCGATGCCTCGTGGACGGGACATGAATGGAGGCGTAGTGCCTGTGGAATATGGGGGAGTAGAATCGAGACGCCAGATCTCACTAGACGAGCGTGCTGATGTCTGGGCCGCGGGCATAGCCTGGACCTCTTTGAGGACAGATGGGGCTGGCGTCGCAACTGGTGGCTTGGTTGGAATTGTCGATGGGACAGGGGAGAAATCCAATGAGAAATCCTCTTTCCCGGGTGTCTTTTTAGCTTGCTGATTCTCCAAAAATCCCTCTTGGTTGGCTTCCAGTAGTACACATGAGAGCATTGCCACCATTTGCACATCTCCAATGCGCTCAAAGTGTTCAAAGAGAGCAGGGACAAGCCAATGACTGCCAAGGGGGTGGTCGCCCCAGCGAATAATGCTGCCCTTCAAGTCTCTATACAGCCCATCTCTTCCCAAACCACCGATTCCGCCCCCTTTCTTGTGTGTACGCTTTTGCGACAGCCCTGACTCAGGCAAAGTACAGGGACTCTTTCGGACATGCAACACTAACTTGATCAGACCCCAGATTTGGGCCAATTCGTAGCAGCCAGCGTCAAGGGCAACAGCTGCGTTATGGGCGCATACATCTGTTCCTTTGCCACAGATGCGATATTTACTCGCCAACTCCCGCTTGACGGGTAACATATCACTCAGGTTATGAATCGATACAATATTCTGGGGTGCCTCTGATTTGACTGTGGCTCCACCTCCAGTCGATCGCTGAGAATTATCTGTTGATCGCGGCCGGTGGATGCCATAGCTGCCGGCACTGCGCCATGTCCGGGGTGCTGGGAAAGGTGTTGGCAGTCCAGAAAGAACGTCAGAGGAGCCCGAAGAGCTCGATGTGTCTGAGTATGACTCGTCCGAATCGTCCGAGGCACCATCATCTGTGCTTGTTATCGTTCCATTACCGCGTGGGCCGGGTGAGCTGGTATGTAACCGGCCGAAGCCTTCAAAGACTTTATCGCCTCTAGACCAACGAGTCATCTCTTTGAAGCCCATGTTCTCGAACAACTCGGCTGACTTGTCCTTCTTTGGTTTCGGCGGGAAGAAGCATATGAGGCGGCCGTCGTTTGCCCAAAGCGCTCCGCATGCTTTGGCCACAGGGACCATGACGTTGGCATTGACCGGGCGGAGTAGCTCAGAACTCATCCCCAGCTCTTGGCTCTGGGTCATACCGACTTCATCCTCGTCGCTGGATTCACCTTCTAGCTCACCGTTGATAGGTGACTTGGGAGTATCACCAGTTTCACCCAATATCCACGCAATGCTGTCCTCCAGGCTGCTTTCGCCTAAAAGATACCGCACCGCACCTTCCAGACACCCTCGATTTCGGGACATATAGGTTTCAGCAATTGTGCGCAGTTCAGCGGTAGTCTTCGCAGCCCACTCATCGGTGACAGCTGCCGTCTTTTGGAATGCAAAGGTTGGGATAGCAGTCTTGGGATAGCTCATTGGGAATTTGATATCGACTTTCAAGAACAAGGAGGCCCCGTCGGCACCCCAAGGCCCGTTAAGAGAGATGGAAATCTTTCTTTGTCGGACGTCAACTGAATCAAATGCCACCTTAGTGAACTTTTCACCGACCTGGCTGATTTCATCTCCTAATGTCTCAATATCCCAGCCTGAGATTTTCACACCACGCATCCAAGCAATTGGATTTGTGTCCGCTCTTAAATTTGACCTTGGTTGCATGCCAACCCGATCAACATGACCTCCCTTTATCCAACCCCGAGCGTGAGGAACAGTAATGGCGTTCATCCCAGTGCCTGCTGCAGTATTCTGGTTCTGATTCCCAACAGAGGAGGCCACATCAACGTCATCGAGATCCAAGTCTGAATTCACGTCGCGGAAACTCCGATATACGGCACCGAGCCGTGTCACAGTTCGTGTGGAAATAAAGGACTTGCCCTTTTCGTACCCCACGCGCGCCAGAATCTCGGGGTTAACTTTGTGCAAACGAAGCTCCCTGTCCGTTCCCCACGTAACAAGTTGATATTCGCGATGGTCAATGCCATCCGCTACCCCTCCACGCGGTCTCCACAAGAACTCTTTGACTTGTCCCTTGTGCCCGGGGAAACTATGTACCAAAGGCAAGTCATCCTCTGGACTTGAGCCCTCTCCAGCTCGCCGGCTGTAAAGGTGAAGATCATTGTTGCCTCTCTGCGGCATTGCAAGCATACCCCATCCAAACGGTGTATTGCGTGCCCGCCACACGGGGAATGGTGTGTGAATCTGCTTCTCTGGGACATCTGAATCGGTGGTGTAGTCCCAGAACTTGATGGTTCTATCTAAAGAACATGTAACTAGAGCACCGCGTCGAACACGATTCCAGTCAACTCCATAGATCTTGGTGTTATGTGCTTCGATCGATTTGATTGGATGTGCACCCATGCGGTCATCCCAAATCCGAAGGAATCGGTCATGAGAGCTAGCAATGACATGAGGGTCTTGTCGATTCCATTTTACCTGGGTTGCACCAGTAAACCAATCCGAGAATGAGACTGCTGGCCGCGACGGAGTACGTAAATCCCAGCAGTGCACAAAACTGTCCACAGAACAGGTCGCTAGGACATCTGGGTGGAAAGCTGAGAAATTGATATCGGTAATTGCTCGAGAATGGGCGTGAAGCACAATTTCAATGGAGTTCTGCCATGTCTTCATGGCCAAATTCCAGACCAACGCTTTCTGGTTGGATGTACTGACAACCCACTGATCGCGTGCAGCGAATGGCGACCATTGGACATCAGCTACCTCCCATGGTGTGTGATGAGGGAGATACCGCGGTGGAGAATATGGCGAGTCTAGGTCGATGATATGTAGACCCTCCTTGGACGCTAGAACGACATCCCGTCCACAGGGGGATATTGACATAGAACCCACCGGTTGCTCTACATGAAAGGAGCTGTCCTCGTCAAACGTCGGGCTCTCCATAGCCGATGTTAGGGGCCTCGGTCCCATGGAGCTAGACATGATGACTGTGATTGCTGCTCTGTTTAATTTCCGGTGTTCGTCGGGCCGCGATCTTGCAGGAACCGGGAAGTCAAAGGTCTATCCATGCATATAACACAAGACCATATGTATTTGGTAGTGATGTACCTGTTCCCATTTTCCACAATGGCATCCGCTATTCCTGTTCCATGATCGAAGATGACTGCTATATCTTCGACTTGTCGCGACGACCGGAGAGTTGGGTTGCGATAACGCGATAAGGACAAGGGAGTGGCTGGTACTGTGGCTGTGGACATGGATGTGGCTGAGACTCCGGGATTATGACATCACATGATCTCGTATACGGGACGCGAAACAACCCCGCCATGCAGGAGCCCCACGGCCGGTTACGTCGTCGAGAACAGGATCAGCTGTTTTTTTTTTGGTTGACTTGCCCTTTACTTTTCTCTATTGACTTTTTTCCGATTGCATATTGTGTTCCCGCCCAACATCGAATGTGTGCGGGTTCCTGGTCTTTTTTTAGCTCATCGTCTGAAATTACTAAACCAGGCCTACACGCGTGTCGATAAGCCGGTTCGCCATGGCTTTACCCAAGAGAATCATTAAGGAGACGGAACGTCTTATGGCAGAGCCGTAAGCAGCTCATCTCGCTTAAAAAGTCATTTGCATAGTAGCTAACATGTTGTGCTTGGGTTACAGTGTTCCAGGCATTAATGCTGTGCCCCATGACGATAACCTCCGCTATTTCGACGTCTCAATTCACGGACCTGCGCAATCTCCATACGAGGGTAGGCTCGCGGTAACAAGATCCTCATGCCTAATTGAAGTACTAACCGACTTTATGCAGGTGGTATCTTCCGACTTGAACTCTTCCTGCCAGACGATTATCCTATGACCCCACCCAAAATCCGCTTCCTGACCAAGATCTATCACCCCAACATCGATCGTCTGGGTCGTATCTGTTTGGATGTCTTGAAGAGTAAGACATAATACAATTGTTCTCAAACTGTGAATATCTAACCATGCTTTTTAGATAATTGGTCTCCAGCTCTCCAGATCCGTACGATTCTACTCTCGATTCAAGCACTTCTTGGAGCCCCGAATCCCGACGACCCGCTCGCCAATGACGTTGCTCAGAGATGGAAGGACGATGAACCTGCTGCGATCCAAACAGCAAAGGAGTGGACTCGGACACATGCTATGACCTAAGTCCGTTGGCGTTATGTGACCATGAAGTGCAGGACAACCCTTTATATGTGTGATAGCAGGCATTGAGTTCCAAGCGTTTGTTATTGGGCAACCTTGCTGCTTTGAGTAGGACTCCAGTATCCGCTCCTCCCATTACCCTTGCCTCGAGTTATTATACCTTTTCCTAGAAGACGTTGTAGAGAAACAACCTCATCAGGCGTTTTTAACTTTAATCAGCCGTTCATAACAAACATCATCTAATGTAGTTCAACAACTTACAGTCCCCGGAGTATACTGATCATTATATCATTTATCGCCTAGTTATGAAGCTCACCTTGAGGGTTGTATGTTTGTCAGCAAGATAGTCAGCCCTTGTTGCCACCTGGGCACCTCTGTCCTTCATGAAATAAGACTACAACATATCTGCTTGGCCCAAGATGATATTAGGGACGTTATAACTTGTAAGAACACACCCAGGTGTTCTTGGATGTTCTTTTTAAATATGTACGAAGATGGTAAATAAAGGCTTGAACCAGCGTACAGAGCACCTTGTTTGAGTATAACATTCCTAATTTCCAACTCTGACGAAGATATGTACTCCAACCGTGTAGGTGTAGACTGAGTTCACATAATTGTATATAAAGAACCAAGATATTGCTTGACCCACTCTACCATGAAAAGCTTCCACCTGTATATGTAGTCCAGATTGAAAGGAAATTCGACTTCATCGAGGACCAGGAGTAATTCGTCAGCAAAAATTCCATGTCCTTTGTGTTTTGTCGTGGAGTTCTCGGGAAAGAAAGGTGAGTTCCATGTAATTTCAAGTATTTTATCATTTGCACTTATAACAATGTATAGTGGAACAGAGACTAAATAATAAAATCCAAGTTTGCAATTATCCTGATCAGAGATCATAAACAATCGAAGTATTGGAAGAGAAAGACATATCATGTGACCTTATCGATAAGTCGAACTGGAAAGGGCAGAGGCAGTCACGTGTCGCACTTTAGCGAGCGCCCGCACCACAATTGGGTCAGTAGCATCACCGCGATCCACGATTTACGACAACCACTCAACGCCAACCGACCCCCGTCAGCGCATCTCCATTCGTCAAGATGCGTACTTACGACGACGCCTTCAGCGGCCAGAAGATCTACCCTGGCAAGGTGCGTTTGCAATTCCCGTCGCCGCTTTTGGGAGGAATTTGTGTGCGAGGGAACAACGGCATCATGGATTCGACATTCACACTTCGATATTTCAATACCGTCACAATTGTCGCTCTCCGTGCTAGCCGAACCGCCGCACATGAATTCCGTCGCCTTTTTATTGCTGCTGGAGGCTAATCTTTGATCTTCAATGTTTTAGGGCAAGCTGTTCGTCCGTGGCGACAGCAAGATCTTCCGCTTCCAGCGTGGAAAGTCCGAGTCCCTTTTCCTTCAGCGCAAGAACCCCCGCCGCATCGCATGGACTGTTCTCTTCCGTCGCCAGCACCGCAAGGGTATCTCTGAGGTCGGTCGCCCCTCCCCTTGGATTATTGTTAGATTGTGTGGAGGGACAAAAGGCCGAATCGAATGGTGACGCAAACCACGATACGGAGCAAGAGGAGGAATTATCACGTCACCACCATGATTCAGGTCAAATGATGGAAAATGCGACTACAGATTACTAACCGGGTTATCTTTTTGGATATATAGGAGGTCGCCAAGAAGCGCACCCGCCGTGTTGTCAAGAACCAGCGTGGCATCGTTGGTGCTTCCCTCGATGTGATCAAGGAGCGCCGCTCCCAGCGCCCCGAGGCCCGTGAGGCTGCTCGCAAGCAGGCCATCAAGGACGCCAAGGAGAAGAAGGCTGCTTCCGCCAGCGCCAAGAAGGCTGAGAAGGCCAAGACCGCCGCCGCCAAGGGCGGTGCTCAGCGCATCCAGAGCAAGCAGGGTGCTAAGGGCTCTGCTCCCAAGGTCGCCGCCAAGTCCCGCTAAATTTCTTTATGAAATAGTTGGGAATGGAGGTGTTGGGATAGGAGCAGCGCTGTGACGGTTGCGATATGATGGAACTTACGGGCATCGGAGCTGGAGTACTGTCTGTGAGGACTGGCCTTGGGCCTTGACCTTGTTTCTGGAAATACTTTATGCAATACAATTTCATGCAGAAAAATGGGAACAAAGGAATCAAAAAAATGAATCCCCATGCGAGTATTAAAATTATGTTCTTATCCAACCTCCAGCAATGGAACGATTCTTGCTTTTCCCTCGAGATACCATGTCTGCCAGCCCTACTCATGAGTGGTTGCGTAGGTATCTCTGTCGGATCTTGTCAACGAAGTAGTCCAGATCCGGCCTCCCGATCTACAACTGAATCTCTTGTTTTGTTTTTTGTTTTGTTTTGTTCTGGTCTGACATTAGATAAATGAGGAATATCCACTTGTGTACATAGCCTCTTTCTGGCATCTTTAGAGTGGCTGGAATGAATCTAAGCTGTTAATGTTACCGTCACGTGCCCCTCAGTTGGCTTTGACCACGGAGTCAATGGATCATCTCTACATCACAGCAACTTGTTAAACTGAACCTTTCCATTCTTGAGCAGACGATGATCTTCCAAGTTGAATATCTGACCCGTATAACTATTCTGAGATTAAAGTGAGACTCCTGCCCCTTCTCCAGCCCCGATCTCCATCTTCTCAATTCGTTGCTAAGGAGAACGCATGCTTGTCCTGAATCCTTAAAAATGACTCCCCGAAAAAGAGCCCCTCAAGTGGCGAGAGTCGAGCAGATAAGAAACCCCGAACACGGAGCTCACCAGCTACGCAACAATTGCCGCCTGGCCCGGCATGCCCGGGTGAAGTGAAGACTCGTGATCGTGGCGCACTGTCCAAGCTCCCTCCAGGGTCTGACATCTTCGAGGCCTTTACTAAGGTCAGAGCAGCCAAACATCTCACATATGAGGAAGCATTTCTCAAGCTCCTGGCAACTTTTGATATCCCGCTATCCACACTATCACAAACGACCAAGACACTGGACATATCCTTTTCAAACGCTAGCTACCAACAGATTGCACCATACGTGTGGCTTGACCCCAATGGTGGAGGTCGCGACATGTCGCCCCTAGATGTCTGCCGATCTAGGATCCCTACCGACTTATTTCGTGACATCACACGTGATGTTGAAGATGCCTTAACACAGTACGGTCCCATTGATGCTCATGAAAACGAGGAAGCCAGATCCCGTTTCATCTCCTCCCTTTTCAGCCGCATTGTTTGCCTGTTTAATAGCATTGTCGTGAACAAGCCAGGGACCCTGCTAGAGAGTGAGTTCACTCGGCGAGGCCGAATCGAGCACCACTTTATCTCACTCGACACTGTGAGCATCGTTTTCGTCGAAGTGGAAAAGATCTTAACAGTGGGAAAAAGCAGACTTGATATGAAGGCCCAGGTTCTTGCCGAGTGTGCAGCGTGTGACTACGCCAACTTGAAGCAGGGGCACTGGGTGCCTATACTTGCTATCCTCTGTGATGGTAACAACTTCGAGTTCCTTGTTTACGACTCGGCAGATAAGGCCATATACTCATCAGGCCGAATGACAGGGATTGTAGCAGATGAGCGAGGTGACCATGTTGATCTCCTTATCTCTACTAAAAAAACCTGCGAATACCTCTTCGACTGGTTCATTATGGGCTATATTAATAGCCTTCAGTCCTTCGGGCACGTGTCCTTAAATGGGTCGCGCGTGACGAAACGAGAGTCTACTGGGCAGTGGGAAAGTGCCCTTGCCGCTGCTAACACTGCGCACTGGTATCTGAGAGGGGCGGCAGAAGCCGCCAAGAAGGCAAAGTTGAGGGATGCTGAGGCTATGGCAAGCCATGGTGTGGAACAGTTAAAGCTGAGTGTGTCTCTGATCCCATGCCAGCCACCCTACGAGAAAAACATTGAAATTGTATGGGATGGCATTAAGCCTCTGGAAGAGGCCTTCAGCTCTACGATACAATATTACTAATTCAAATTCGCCCTAAATTCAATTTAGATATAATTTAGATATAATTTAGATTCAATTCAGATTCAATTCAGATTCAATTCAGATTCAATTCAGATTCAATTCAGATTCAATTCAGATTCAATTTAGTTTAGAAGTCCCTATACCTATATAGTGAATCCTATATTATACGTACTATGATAAAAGGCTTCTTCCGTCTAAGAAGGGGGTAAAATCCGATTGCTATATACGATAATATTCCTAGGCATACTACTAAAGAGACTCTTCGAGGAGCTTAGGGCTATTATAATAGAATAGCCTACCTTTTTACCTGATTTAAACCCCATTAAGAAGGCATAGAACTAGATAGTATAGGGATTAGCACTTTCCTTTTCCTTTATCGAAGCTCCGTGGTATGGTTTAGGAGGCCTAGGATACTATGCCGGAGGAATCCCTATCTGATCTGATTGATAGTATGCTATTGAGGTGCTATGTAGTGATTGCTAACTAACTAGTTACTAATAGGGGACCTACAATAACTATTTAACTATAACTACTAAGATACTAAGATACTAAGATACTAAGATACTAAGAAATTGAGAGTTAAGAGTTGAGAGTTGAGAGTTAGGAGTGCAAAGAGCCCTATTTTTTTAAAAAAAACTAATATAGTATTAGTTTGTAAGAATACTAACTAACTATATAAAACACTACGCTAATTGTGCACTAGTAAAATTGAGTAGAGATGGGTGAATCTTTGTAGGGTGCGTAGATGTGCGTCTTGGGCTTCGAGCTAACTAACACCCCAATATTCTTGAACATACAACTTGAACAAATAGACTAAATCAATTGAAATCGTTACAGTGGCAGTTATCTGGTCATATGACCATCTAGCCGGCCTCTACTCCTCATTTATATCCAAACGGCACAGCACACCGACGTAACGAGCTGCGCCTGACTTCCCAACACGCTTCTTAGACCAGTGCGCGGGTTCCCAACGAGCTGTCCACTTGGCTCACAAGCTGACGACTTACCGGGCCCAGTGCCTGCCTTTCTTAGACGACTTTGACAGTGATGTCACCGCTCGTCTGAACCTACTCCTTTCCCACATAGTCGGCCCAGCAAGCTCAGGTAGAAATTCGTAGGCAAGTTTCACATCCTGGAACGCGTTAGGCGTCCCGCATACAAACTGGACCTTCCAGGTTCCTGGCTACAGATGGGGATTCACCCGGCCATCAACCCATAGGGGAGACAACCAGTTAAAATCCATAACCCAACATTCGACGAACGGTGGACACCACGTCTCTAGACCACCTTTTACCGTTATATTAGCGGCTAAATAGCTAGTCACATAAATAGCTATAACATAGCCAGCCTCTACTCCTCATATTTATATCCAGCCAGCTACAGGTAGACAAAATTATCTTCATTACTGATTCCAACACATCCTATAGTGTAACAGACATGCACAGTTTTCATATCTAGGTCCCCATCGCCGCAATGCATTAGTTTCAAGTCTCAAGAAAGCAAAGACAATACAGACAACATCAATAGTGCTACAAGGTAAAGACGGGGATCACCGCAATGGCAGAAGCACCGTCATCATGATAATGGTTGGTAGACCATGCACTCCCCAGCCCTGGGACTTTCAGTGCGCAATTCAGTCGCCAGTAGTGGAGGGGCAGGTTCAAAATGCTACACAAATGCCCCAATTGCTCCTTGCCATGTGCCGAGGGCCATGCTAATCACGATGGATTAGTGTCATGTGCAGCTCCGTTCTCTCAAATGCAACGATCGCGTGGTTTGCGCAAGTTCCTCTCGTGGACAACGGTGCTTCCCCGAAGCCTCGACGGAATAACGGACCCAAATTATAACAACCGGCGTCAACCGGCGTTAACCAAAAAGAAAAAAATACATGGATTAAGAAACGATCAGTAATAATGCGCCATCTCGAGGCCAGCTCGCTTGAAGCCACACTTGACGTAGAAACCCTCATTGACTTCGGAGCAGTCAAGAATGCTCTGTAAACGAGTCAGCAATGAACAGTGATACAGAGCTAGAACCATAGACATAAGGAATAGTTAAGAACACATACCTTGTAACAGCCAACCTGCGCAGCAACGTAATCCAAAGCCTGGATAATTCTCAAGCCCAGCTTCTTGCCCTGCTGATTCTTCTCAACGGCAATGTCTTCAATGTGACCAACCATACCGAGCGAATGAATGAACTTGCGCTCAACGATCAGACTGCCAGTTCCGACGACTCGGTCCGCACCATCGCAGACCACGAGCATGTAGTACTCATCATTGCGCGAGGTGATCCAATCGTACCGCTGGTTCCACGCCTCCTCGGTGATGTCGCCAACAGTTGTCAGCACGCGCAACACGTCCAGGTAGCCGCGGTTGTAGTCTGAGCGCCGCATAGGCCGGATGGTGTAGTCTGCTGGCAGGAGAGAGATCACTTCGGGGGAAATGAGGGTGGAGGGGAAGAGGGGACCGTCGGTGACGGGATCGACTGCGGCGTCCACTGGGGTGACGGTTGAGCTCATGATTGGCTTCGTGGCTTCGGGAATTATGTTGTTTGCAAGGGCGTGTGCGGTCATTTTTGTGGTGAGAGTAGGAGGGTGGAGGTGTTGAAGAGATTGAGGGTCGAGTGCGGGTTGTTTATCAGGGGTCGGGGGTCGCAAGGGAGATCGGTGAACTTGGATTTGGCAAGTTAATTTGTTGGAGTGAAATTTAGTATGTTTGTGTGTAATTGAGGAGAGATACAAGAGTTTCGATGTGAAAAAGAAGAAGTTTTCAAGCTGAGAAATAAGTACTCCGTAGTTACTCGACTTTCAAGGGTTCAGGTACGGCCCTGCAGGTGAGACACCGCCACTAAGGGGGGCTTTTCTATAAATACTCTCCATACCAAGGGACCACTAGTAGATTCTTTTTTTGTTTCTCACAGGTCTTTTTTAGTATAATCTCTTCTTATTTTTGCATTGGAAATTCCTAAGGTTATTGAAGTATACATATTTATATTAGAATGATCTCAACAACTCCGATTCACAAGTGTTCTCGATCGGCGCTATTTATAACACCAAAAGAATATCTCCAACATAAAAAACTGTATTATATCACAACACAAGGTGATTAAACATAATATTCCTTTCATTGTACATGTCCTATCGGAAATGGTCTATAATATCACAGGACAGCATTGCTGTTCATTTATTTCAACTCCTTGGGAGCCAGCATCAGCTCGGGGCGGACATACTGGTCGAACTCCTCGGAGCTGAGAGCCTTGAGCTCCATAGCGCTCTCCTTCAGAGTAAGGTTCTTCTTGTGAGCGTTCTTGGCCACCTTGGAGGCCATGTCGTAACCAATGACAGGGTTCAGGCAAGTCACGAGCATCAGACTATCATACAGTTAGAATTTGCCATCAAAAAGTAAGGGGGGTGAGCGGTTTAAGCGCATACCTCTCGTTAAGAAGGGAGTTAATCCGTGACTCGTTAGCCTGTAGACCGTCCACCAGGTGGGAACGGAAGCTGTTCATGCCATCAGAGAGGATGCGCACGCTGTGGAGCAGGTTGGCGATCATCACGGGCTTGAAGACGTTAAGCTCGAACTGGCCGTTCATACCACCGATGGTGGCAGCGACGTGGTTACCCATAACCTGGGCGCAGACCATGGTGAGGGACTCGCACTGGGTAGGGTTGACCTTTCCGGGCATGATAGAAGAGCCGGGCTCGTTCTCGGGCAGGCTCAGCTCGCCCAGGCCACAACGAGGGCCGGAGCCCAGGTAGCGCACATCCTGGGCAATCTTGAACAGGGAGGCGGCCAGGGTGTTCAGGGAACCAGAGGCCTCGATGATGGAATCGTGAGCAGCCAGAACCTCGAACTTGTTGGGGGCGGTCTTGAACTCGGTGCCGGTCAACTTGGTGATCTCGGCAGCGACGGCCTCGTCGAAGCCTTTGAAGGTGTTGAGGCCAGTGCCGACAGCAGTACCACCCTGAGCCAAGAAGCGCAGGTGGGGAATAGTAGCCTGGACACGCTCGATGTTACGGTCGAGCTGGGCGACGTAGCCAGAGAACTCCTGGCCAAGAGTAAGAGGAGTAGCGTCCTGCAAGTGGGTACGGCCAATCTTGATGATGTGCTCGAACTTGTCGACCTTCACCTGGAGGGCATCGCGGAGGCCCTTGAGCGAAGGCAGAAGGGACTGCTCGAGCTCGACAACGGCAGCGATGTGCATAACGGTGGGGAAGGAGTCGTTGGAGGAGGCGGACATATTAACGTGGTCGTTGGGGTGAACGGGCTTCTTGGATCCCATGGTACCACCGAGGATCTCAATGGCACGGTTGGAGATGACCTCGTTAGAGTTCATGTTGGACTGGGTGCCGGAACCAGTCTGCCAGACGACCAAAGGGAAATGGTCCAGCAGCCTACCGTCAGCGACCTCAGCGGCGGCCTGCTTGATAGCCTCACCAATCTTGGGGTCTTATGCAAGTCAATAACATAGCGACATCTAATTTCCGCAAGAGCTTCACATACCGAGGCCGTACTTCATGTTCACTTCGGCGGCAGCACCCTTCAAGATACCAAAGGCCTTGACCACCGGGGCAGGCATGCGGTCCTGGGGCTGGTTGATGTCGAAGTTGCCGAGGGAGCTGTATCCATCAGCGACCTTGTTCTTGTTTTCCATTGTAACGTATCGATTTGACGGGGGCGTCTTACCGCTGGGTTTGCGCACCCCAGTACTTGTCTCCAGGGACCTATTGAGATAAATCATTAGTTCTATACGGCACCATTGCTATGTCAACAATCACTCACCTGGATTTCACCAAAGGCATCACTCTCAGTGCGAGCGTCAACAGACTAGATCACACGCATCAGTTTATCTGAATTCGTTTGTCCGCGCTCTCAAGACAGCATACCATTCTGACGGTAGTTCCAAAGGCTCGCTTGTTGGAGAAAGTGTTCAA